TGGCGGAGCGGGCCCCAATCCGCACTATTTTTAACGGGTGCCTGGCACCAAAAAGTGGCACGCGATAAAAGGTAATAGGACGGACAGTTTGCAAGGCCGCGATCAGCCTTCTATTCTCGTGCAATTCGCAGAACCGTCTGAGAAGAGAAATGAAAAATGACTGGGGACAATTATGCACGCGCTTTTCTCGATAGTCTTGGTAATACCATACCGACTCACGTTCGCATTGCTTCTTTCTCTTATTCTGTGATTCTCGTCGTTCTTGTATTTTTTATTTTCTTTCTTTTCTTTAGTTTTATTTATCCTCTTTCTTTGGGTTTTCACCTCAATCGCGCTTTCCCCGCCAATTCTCCTCTTCCCCACTAGTCAGCCTGGTCAATCTGCCCAGTTCTTTTCTAATCTTTACAGCCTAGCTTTACACATGCCACGGAACGCACAACCGTAGGCACTGACCTCCCCGTCCCTTCCTGGTCGATGATCCTTTACCTTTCTTTCCTTTCAACGTCTCATGAATGACTTCACGACACAATTCGACTTACCAGCGCTGGTGATCTCATTTTTGCGTCCCATACCGGAAACGCGACCGTCAACAAACCTTCCTCACCATACATCGTCGTCGGTTGTCAATACAGCGCAAGACGGCTTAGTTTAGTGGTGGAATAGCGGAGGGGCAGACCCATACCGTCAACCTCACCGAGCTCACCTCCTCGTCTCCCTCTCATTGCCGCTGGCACGGTCACACTCACTCCCGTGCGCTTTACCCAGTTTTGTGTGTCGCTTCTTTGGCGGCGGCTCATCCGCACATTGTGCTCCGTTTCAACCCCGGAAGGGACTTGAGCGACGCCGGAGCTGCCCCGCCCCCCCTCCAAGCCGATTCTCTTCGTCCCTGCCCCTCCGACCATGAGCAACAACGGCGGGCCATTACGACCACCGCCACCGCCGGCGCAGCGGTCGCGAGATACACGGAGCAACTACTTTGCGACGTACACCTCGGCGCCCGTCTCTACCCCCACACCACCCCCGCCGCCCCCACCAATACACAATAACGCCGCGTCGTCGGCCGCAGCAGTCGCCGGCACAACAGCAGCAGCTGCCTATACAGTGCCAACGCCGCCTCCGCCCCCACCTCCAAGAGTCCACGCTTCCACGTCCTCCTCGTCTTCGCTGCTGTTGACACCAACGTCATTGACTGCAGCGTCGTTAGCAGCGAACCAGGCTGGCGCGCGAGGCACCGTCTACTCGCCGACGTCGCCGACGTCGCAGGGCCCGGCACCTTCATTAATACCCGGTGGCGCCAACTCGGCCTCGTCGTCGACAACCTCCCTCTTTCGCTCCAACTCCAACTCAAACACTGCCAATGCCGCAGCAGGAGCAGCAGCCGCAGGCGCACCCGTTGGCGCCGCTGTCTCCAAGCCGGCCAGCTCGGGCACCCCAAACCCGCCCTCGGCAGCGGAAGCCATCCATGGCCCGGTCCGTGAACCCGTTCGCGAGTTCACACCACCGACGGACCGTCTCATTGTGGGAGTCGATTTTGGCACGACGTTCTCGGGAGTCGCCGCCGTGTACACACCCATGCCCGACGACATCGAGATTATCAAAACGTGGCCCGGCGGAAACGGCATCACCTCCGACAAGGTGCCGACCGAGATGACCTATGACCTGCCAATTGATGCGCCACCGGGCACAGAGCCCACGGTGCGATGGGGATTTCAGTTTAAGCCCGAGGAGTCGCGGCTGCGCTGCATCAAGCTGTTTCTCGACCGCACACAAAAGCTGCCGTTCTATGTCAGCCCGCTCGAGACCGCCGCCCAGTTGAGCCGCTACAAGAAGACGGTGGTCGACGCTGTTGCCGACTATCTCACCCAGGTCTACAGGCACACCATGGACACGCTCTCGCGGCGCTACGGCGCATCCTTTATGGCCTCGACGCGTGTAGACTTTGTTCTGACCTGCCCTGCTGTGTGGTCCGATGCTGCAAAGAACACGACGCTGTTGGCCGCCGAGCGCGCGGGCATGGGCGACCGCTCGTCCATCCAGATGATCAGTGAGCCCGAGGCCGCCGCTGTGTACACGCTCAAGGCCATCCAGCCCAACCACCTCAATGTCGGTGACAACTTTATTGTATGCGATGGCGGTGGAGGCACTGTCGACCTGATTGCGTACAAAATTATTTCGTTGAAGCCGTTGCGTGTGGAGGAATCGGCCGTGGGCACGGGCGGACTGTGTGGCAGCGCGTTCCTCAACTACCGCTTCGAGGAGCATGTGTGTCGTAGACTTGGCCAGAGCCGCTTCGACGAAATGAAGACGAAGAAAAGCAAGACCTGGCAGATGGGACTGCGATACTTTGAGGAGTTTGTGAAGCGCAACTTTAACGAGGACGAGCATCAGGAAGTCAACATTCCGTAAGTGGCCTTTTTTGTTGTTGTGATTGTTTGCCCCCGTGGCCTTTGCTTTGGGCGGCCTGTGCTGACGTGCGACACCAGGTTCCCCGGTTTGCCCGATGATGAGGAGGCTGGTCTTGACTCCGGTTTCTTGGTCATGTCAGCCGAGCAGGTGCTGGAGATTTTCGAACCGATCGTCAAAGAGGTCTGCGATCTTGTCCAGGGCCAAGTCGACAAGCTGCGTGCAAAGGGCGGCATTGTATCCGGCATCATTCTTGTCGGTGGCTTTGGCCAGAGCGACTATCTGTACAGGCGATTGAAGCACCACTTCCGCGGCAACCTGATGGATGGGCTCGCCAGCCATGGCACTGGCTCGTCACAACTGCCACCACCGCCCTATAGCGAGCGTCCCACGCATGCGGCAGCTGCGTCGCTGGACATTGCCAACTTGAGTCTTGGCGACGGCGTTGCAAACGGATCCGTTCTGGTTCCGCCCATCGAGGTCATGCAGCCCGTGTATGCCTGGACAGCCGTTGTCCGTGGTGCCGTCTTGCGGGGACTGGAAGGCAGCATGGTGCTGTCCCGGCGGGCGCGCTTCCACTATGGCACATCGTATGCCACCGTCTACGACGAGGCGAAGCATTCGGTCAGCGAGCGCTACTGGTCGCCGCTCTGGGAGCGGTGGATGGTGTCCGACCGCATGCAGTGGCACATTGCAAAGGGCGACTCCATCTCGCCCCTGTCACCCATTGCTTTCCACTACACTCGTAATTTCCGCCCGGGTCAGTCGCTGATTGTGACGGACGACCTGATTGCCTGTGCTGCCGACGAACCGCCAGATTCGTACACCCGAGGCGGCGGCAGCGGGTTTGGCGGTGGTGCGCTTGCAAAGAGTGGTGCTCACAACGGTAGTAGTGAGAATCTAGGAGGCGGCGGCGGCGGCGGCGGCGGCGGTGACGGCGATGATGCGGACGGTAATGGAAGCAAACTGATACATGTCTGTACATTGACGACGGACCTTAGCGCCGTCCCGCGAAGCCTCTTTACGCGCCTGACGACGACTCGCGGCGTTGAGTTTGACAACCTCGACTTTACCTTGGAAATGGTCGTGGACAGTGCCGGGCTAGGGTTCGAGCTCAAGGTCGACGGAGTCCGCTATGGCCGTGTTGAGGCAGACTTCCACTGATTGGAGGACTGGAAACGAGAGAAAAGAGAGGTGAGGACGAGAAGCGGAGAGAGGGGATGCTATTTTTGGTTTTGTTCGGTTTGTTTCTGTCCAGGCTGTCTCTTGTTTAGTTTGCATATTAGCGTAGCAATGTGAATGGCGAGGAGGGCAGAAAGTGCACTTTTGTCCTGAGTAGCAAGGAGAAAGATGATGTGGGAAGGTTTGGTATGCGCACTTTATTTTTCATTTCGAAGATACACACAGGTACAAGACGATACAAATAAGGCACTTTGCACTTTTTAGCTTTGTACGTATTCGTCTGGATTGCCCCTTCCTGGCGATAATCTCACCTTGAAAGAAACAGGAGGAACAAACTTTTGCTTGGTTCCCTCCTTCCCGAGTAGTATTTATGTGCTGTATCGACATGGTGTCCTGTTATCCGAGTAAAACAGCAGGTGCGCCCCGACAAGGCACCTTCCCCGATTTGTGCGATGCGCAAGACAACCGACGTGGCAGGCCACAATGTGACAATACCTTAGGAATTGTTGAAAGGCCTCGACCGTCTCGATGTAGACAAAGTTGAAAAATGACGAATGTGCATGTTTTTTTGTGGTTCTCCATGCAGACAATTGTTGCATCTCGGCCTTGTCATTAATGCCCAAAAATGAAACTGGTCTGTCTCCTCAGTAAAATTCGGCAAGAGCTGGGCCAGAACAAAAGAGAAGGAGCGCCTTACGCCCCAACAGGTAATTGCGGGTCGCAAGGCAAGGAAGAAGTGTTGTGACGTCGCATGGAAAGTGTGTTACAAAATCAAAACGTCGTTATATTTAACTGCGCTGCTATCCATGTTCGAATGAGGGGAAGACATCCAAGTTTACATTCTTCATTCTCCTCCAAAACACATGCTAGATTGCTAAATAAAAAAGGAAATAAAAGGAAATAAAAGGTATCTCGCTCTATGCTGGGGTTTGGGGAAAGAGGTAAGTGAAAAAAAAGTCATGGCGTCGTTAGGTGTGGGAAGGAACAAGACAAGGGAAAGAGGAAGGCTAAGAAATGAGAAGACATTGCACGAAAGCGCGAAGCAAAATCGAGAAAGGAAAGAGCAGCGAGCGAAAATAAACAGAGGCATATCGAAGGAAAGAACAATCAGAAACGTCGGCACAAGGAAAGAACCGTACACAATACGAATTGAACTAACGTAGAAAAGGGGTGAAAAGGGGTGAAATGGGGGAAACCAAAACAAACAGGCCGCCCACCGCTGTTTCCAAAAGAGGAAATCGACTTCATACACCGCCAGATCGCCGCCTTGACCTGGTAGGTGCGACCGTCGCAGCATTGTGAGCTGGAAGCAACAGAGGCAGGTATGACCGCCTCTTCTTCCCATTCTCCGAACCTTCCATTGTCCTCTCTCTCTTCTTCAGTTCTCACCTCTCATCTTTTAAGCACACGTCGCGTCACTTCTTCTTCCTGTGGCCATCCTTCTTCTTACCGTCTTTCTTGTCGGGTTTCCTGCCGCCCTTTTTGCTATCGCCTTCTCGACTTCTGAGGTAGTCGTCGCCATCATGGAAGTATCCGTCGTCGCCAACAAACCCACCGGTATCAGGTATGTCTTCGCGGCCATTTCCTGAGACCATGCTGTCGATATAATGGCCATCGCCTGTATAGCTGCCATCGCCAGCATACCTGGCATCGTCATGTAGATAGCTGGTTGATTGCTCCTGTTCATATTGCTTCTGCATCGCATATGCTTCTTTGCTGATGACTTTGTTTCGGTAAAGGTATTGCAAAAAAGGCAAATCGGAACGGGCACGCATCTCGTCCCCAAAATCGCCTTCGCGATAGTGGTTACTGATGTGGAGCATGCGGCGTTCGAAATTCGTCTCCCTCTTCCGCCCTTTCTCCTCGGCATTGAACAGCTTCCCACAGAACCAGCACGAACACTGGTTGGGTATCTTCCCTTTTAGATGGGATAGATGGTGGCTCGCCCATTCTTTGTCATATGCCAACGGAGCGCTGTAGTCACAGTCCGTGAAGGCAAATTCACATGGAAGAACATTGGAAGCAGCATCCTCAACAGGCTGCGCGGTTTCGACAGTGTCGACCACGTTGTCGAATGTGCTGGATGTGCTGGACGTGCTGGACATGCTCCACCGTCTGCTGCCAAGGCTCCGGGAGTCGTCTGCTATAGGGCTCGGCGAACGGTGGCCGATTTCATGATAGGGCCCCAATCCAGCATGACCGCCGTTGGCTGGCTGGATAACGTTTGTCTCCAGGACAGTTACGCCACTAAGAGGTGGACTCTCACTGATGGAATTGGCATACGGCCGGACGTATCCGTCGTCTGAGATCGACAGATTATCTCCCATACTTCCCGGTGACACGGGTTCGTCGACGTAGAAGTCTCCGTTTTCCGTGAACGTGTCGTCGGGCACTGACCAGCCAATTGAGTTGTTTGGCGTTGACATCTCTTTATTCGCACAAAAGCAAAGAAGGTTAACGACCAGCACTTAGAACCAGAAGGGGTTGGTTCGGGGAGAGAAAGTACCTGCGGTATCAGGTGTGTCGGAAGCGTCCATCGTGGCGGCAACGCTGTTGTGATCGGCAAAGACCGAGTCTTGGTCTTCGGTCCAAGTATCGTCCAATATGATTTCCTCCTCTTCCTCGTCCTTTTGGCCACTATCGATCGGTTGATCGTCGGTCGTGTCCCCTGTTGGTGCCATCGCAGAAAGATGAGTGTCTTCGTACAAGTGTAAGTCTCAATAGGAGGCTCTAAGGAGGTGAATGGAACAGAACCAAAAACCGAAATGGACTCCGAAGGGCACGATATTTTACTTGATATGTGAAAGCAAATTCAGACAAGGTGAGGATGGCGGGATATGGATGCCTGGGCATACAGTGAGGTTCGAGATTGAACCGAAACTGACCAGGACAGAGCCGGAAATATATACACAGGACCGACTTGACTACAGCCGCTACGATGGAAGGACCCAGGTATCCCACAAGGAAGTCGAAGGATCAACTTACTCTCCAGCGATTCGAAACCAACGGCCGCTTAGGGCCCGACGAAGGTGTCCAGTTTACACTTACCATTGTTATTCCAAGAAATAAAGTGGAGGTGGCATGTATTAACTTACACGCTGGCTAGCCTCCTCTTGGAAACATCCAGTCTTATGCTGAATTCATACTCCATTTCAACAAGAAGACAACGCGATCATCACACCCTTCTCCTCACCGCCTACAACTTGCATACTGGCTACGTTTGAGGGTGCGTATCTCGACGCCGCGATGGCTGGGCGGCTCTCGGTCTGATAGGACGACTTGCGATACGACAAGAACCTCTTTGCAGGCACGCAAAAGCTCGCCCACAGCCCAACACTCCGTCATCGCTTTACTCCAGCGGAGATGAATGCTACCCCCTTCAAGGATGAGCCTCGCTCTATTTTCTTTTTCCTTTTTCGAGGGGAGGGGGGATTTGCTTGGCTCCCTACAGCTCAAGGACTCCTTTTCGTGTGGCGGAACGAACATCAGAGGGTTGGGCCGCCGTGCTAAGATGCAAAGGACGATACGTTTAGCTCTTCCTGTCTTTGCATGCTATGGCGTACACGAATTTCTTGCAACTATTTTCTTGGTGCCACACGGCTTCTACGATAGAATGGAATGACGAAAACGAGGACGAGGAGTGCGAAGCCGACAGGCCGATAACAGAAGATCGTCTTTCCCTTCCTACAATGTTTGCGGCTCAAGAGCACCTTGTCTCGAATCACAACGGAACACGTTCGAGCCAAAACAAGCGAGACCAGACACACCGTCAACGAGCCATGGACCGCGTCCATGTGACAAGAAAAGCTGACAAGAAAAGATACCCAATTCACGGCATTCTTTTCCTCCAAGTGATACAGGTTGGATATAGGTAGCCTCGCACTCGGCTCCAGCCCCCTAGTAGGCACCGACATTCTCCCTTCACTTGCTATGTCGATCCATGGGCTCACGTCATAACTCGCAGATGCGGCACTGCTGCAATTTATTGGCAATGGGCGGCGCGGACCGTCAAGAGCACAACTCAAAGATGACGGGCATCTAGCATAAGACGACAATAAGAACAATAACGACCCAAGTCCACTTCGGTAGCACCATCCGGCCTCTCAAAAGACCCACTCCATGCAAAATTAATCATTTGTCACGTTGCTATCCGCATTAAACATGGCGGCATCTCGCTCGAAGGAGACAAGTACCAGGGCGGTCCGCTGAAGACGAAAAAAGAGGGGGATACAATAGCTGGCCACCGCATCCCAAATGACGTGCGGCTCTGCACAGCAATAGTTCGAGTTGGTTTCTCGTAAAGCCCGAGGCCTGTCTTCTCCCAACTCTGTTTTATTTGGCTCGGATTCGATCATTGGTTCTCTAGCACCATGTTCAGTGGAGGGTCACCCTCGCTCTCCGCGTGCAGCAAGCCATGCAGGATTCATACACCCCCATAGGTCGATATCAAACAACGAAGATTGTTGAGTGGATTTCCGGCATCAACCAGCGAAACGAAGAACGGAAATGGTGCCAGTCAGCCTTTTGCCCCGCCCCCAACCTCACCCACAGTCATTGAGATGACGAATCGTTTTTGGGAGAGACTAACTATGCGGAGAAATGGCGGAGAGAAGATAAAGGGGGCTCTGATCCCTTTGCGGCCGCAAGTCATCTGGTTCTTTGTGCCTCTCATTTCCCCCTTCTGGGGGTGCTCCTCTGGCTTCAGCGTTCCAGTGTTATGCCGGCTGCCGAGGAACAACAACTGGCTCGCGGCGGCGCAGCACACAACCTGGCCGCAGGCAGTTTTGAAAATGAGAGGTGGGGGCCGGTTTTGGTGCTCTAGCTCTCTTGCCGACCGCATGTTGGGGCCTTCGACGCAAATGCGTTGTGTGTGTCACGCCAGCACAGTTGGGCCATGGAGGGCGGCATCGGGCTGAAGCGGTCAAGAGAACAAAATAATAAACTCGTGGAGAGGGGAATATGGTTTTACGCACAACAACAAAGAGTGGCATCTCTAAAACCAAGAAATCTGGGGATACGAAATCGGGGAACAAACCAGAGGAAGCAGAGGCGTCCCCAGCGTGTTCAGTCCCTCACAGCGGCTCCCTGCCATTTGCAAAGATCTCTCATGGTTACGTGGGAGCTGGGCCTGGTTCTTTTGCACTGCTGTATTGGCTTTGCTCTGCACTTGTTTACATACGTTGTTGATCTCCGTCGTCTGCCCACACATGTTTGCCTGGTTGGACATTTGCCTGCATGGCTCTGCGGCTGGACTGACTGCACGCACGATTGCTTCGCTGCACGATGGCTTGCACCTGCCTCGTTGGGCTCCGTGCTTCTATTCTGCAGCACACAGTACCCTTGCCTTGCATATCACGTTGGTGTACTGCAGGTGGCTGCCCGTCTCGTCACCTCGTTTGATAATACCTGGAAACGTCACACACGCAATCTCTCGTTGTGACAGCCCGTCGTCGTCGTCCTCCTCGCCCCCAATGTCCTCCATGGTAGCTGCATCAAAAAGGACCTGCTGGTGCGGCACGATGGACGGCATAATTACGCGGAAGACAGCCTTTTGGGTCACGAGAAGGCGTGCCAGCTCCAGTGCACTGGTGACAAGCTGCCGTAGGGCATGATCGCGCGCATCGGTGCGCTGCACGTCAGTTATGGCATCCAACACGTCGTTGACACGCGTTACGACTTGGTCGATCACGCGCGTTGTCTCCGCCTGCAATTGCTGGGCACTGTCTTTGCTGACAATGTCCAAGGTCAACGCCCGCCACTGGTTGATCGGCTCGGCGGTTCCGGCTGTAGATTTGAAAAGCCTAGTTAGAAAAAGAATAACGGCAAGAAGACGAGTACCAATACCGCGTGGAAATAAAATCGGGGAGAAGGGTGTGGGGGGAGACAAAGAAAGCATTGGCCAGAAAATATTTGCCGGCAGTGGCATCACTCACCAAAGGGTTTTAAAAAGGATTCTACCTCTTCGAGCTGTGCGGCCTGCTGCGGTGGAAGACCGACGAAGTAGGCATCGAAAATCAAATCAACAAGCACCCGTGACACGGCAGACTGCAGCAAGTGCAGCTTGGCAGAATGCCGTAGATCGTCATACATGGGCACGAGCTGTGCGAGGCTCTCACGCGCATTCTTACTGGCTTTGTCGGTATCTGTATGGGGGGTAGAGGAAGGGAGACACGGGTATTTGGTTAGCATCCGTTGTTGGGGGGCTTCAGAGATATACGATTGGTAGACACCGTAAGGGACGAATAAGGAGGGGGGAAGGAAAAGACGCGATAAATACGACGGTCGATTGTGTAGGGCCTCATGTCGAAGAAACACAATAAATGAGCAGGCGGAAGGGGGAAAACCAAAAAAAAGAGGCTCTGCTGTATGTAGCACAGAACAGTGCATTTGGTGCAAAGGGACATTTGTGACTGGTTGGTGACGGCACGGACAAGAAAGATTGGTGGACGGGATGAGTGGGCTAATAGAATAGGGGTAAAGGAAGGGATCGGGTAGGACAATGCACGGAAGTCAACCACATCCACAATCTACATACCCAACTTGGCACGCCGAAAGTGCATAATTACCCAATTCTGCACGCCGTTGGCCAGACGTGCCATACCGTCACCAAAGACCTCGTCGCTAGCCACCTGGCCGCCGGCACGTGTAGACGTGCTGACCCATTCTTTGAGACCGCGGACTTGCTCGCGCAACGACCTTGCCTCCTCGTCTCGTGCAACCGCGGAACGCTGCATTTCCTCCCAGCCGGCCCGTAGCTCGGCGCGCTCGGCTTCGCGTAGTTCCACTTCGGCCTGTAGCAGCTGGTTCTCGGTATCGGCCTGAGCAAGCTGCTGCTGCAGGCGGCTATTCTTTGCCTGCCAAAATGTGGCGGCTTCTGACTCGGCCTTGCTAAGCTTGTCGAGCTCGCGAGTGAACTCGGATTCCATAATGTGCAACTCGCGCTCCAGCTGGGCGATGCGCATGTCCTTTTCCTTGACAAGCTGCGCGGACGCAGCGGCCGCATTGAGCGAAGCTGCCGCGGCTGATGCAGACACAGACGACGACGATGAAGCCAAAGACGATATGCTGTGGTGGCCATGGTGGTGGTGGTGGTGCTGCCGCTGGTGGTAGTTGTGGTGATTGGCCGTGTAGACCCAGTGCGCATCCTTGGTGCTGTTGCTGCTGCTGGCGGACGATGCCATGCCAACGCCGCCGCCACTTCCTCCTCCTCCGGCTGCGCTTCCGCTCCCGCTACCGCCTCCGCTGCCGCTGTTTCCACTATTGCCACTGCCGCCGCCACCCGGACCAGACGCCGATCTAGTACCGCCGTCTCCACTGGAGGTTCCGCTCGGCGGGTCTGGCACGGTCGACGTACTTTGATTTCCAGCACCGAGAGCAACACGGGGCGGCGGTGCTATTAAAATCCCCGAAGAAGCAGCTGCGCTTCCGCCATTGTTGGGCGGGGAGGGCGGTCCGCTTCCACCGGCGCGTTGATTGCTATCATTGTTGTGGCTGCTACTTCCACCGGTGCCGCCACCGCTTCCCGCCCCCGACGTAGAAGCCGCCACGGCCGTCACCGCCGAGGTCGTCCGGAGAACATGTGACGAGGATGCTACCCCAGCCGCGGTCGGGCCGGCGCCACGTCGTTTGCTACTGCTCCGGTTGGCACTGGAGCTCGAGCCGACCGGCACGCTGGTCGAAGCGCTGGCAGCGCCGCCACCGCCGCCGCCGCCAGGATGCTGCGGTGTTGTTGAGGACGCCACGGTGACAGGTGGATTTGGTGTTCCAGAAAACGAGGATATTGACGATAGGGGATGGTAGCCTGCGGTACCGCCGCTGTTGTTGACGTCCGAGGTGGAGGAGACGACCGACGAAGACGAGGAAGACGAGATGGACGAGGAAGACGTAAGTGATGAGGCGGAAGTAGCGGCCGCCGGATGTGGGTTTAGCATGGTTTATTCTTTCCCAACCAGCCGCGCAGCAACGACATCCGGATCGGAGGTGCCGGTGGCACGGTCTTGTCCAGACGGAACCGGCTTGGATGAGAGCACGTGAGAACGGGAAAGGCGAGGCGGACCGTGAGTCTCTGTGATTCACGGCGTTTGCCTCATAGAGCCATCCTATTGTCATAAAGCGTTGGCATCGAAATGCATGATCGTCGCGTCCTTGGCTGTGTGCAGACGGGAGACGGCGGGGTTCACCCTTGCGAAATGGCGGAGGCGAGGCGGAGGGTGCACGTTGCCGCTACGATGCAGGTCAATTGTTGGCCGTCGAAGCGGGTTGATAAGGTTTAAACCCTTGAGATGTAAATGACGGGATTTTGCAATAATTTCGTCGGTTTGTCGGTGCTCGTCACCCACGTGCTCCTTCAGGACAGCAAAGGAAGGAGACGCTGTTGGCGACGTGCGGTTGAGTGTGCGACAAGAAGGAGCGAGGGAGGACGAAAGTGGGTCTTCGCATGCGAACATTAGGTGACACGGGCCATTCGTGGGGAACAAGGAAGGCGCAAACGGGGCGACTGGCCAGGCCACGGCGGGGCAAGGCAGCCACAGGGCGCAAGAGGAGACTTTAGTGCTGTAAGTCGAGCAAGAAAGAACACATATGGATAGAAACAGAAGGTGCCTAGGCTGACAAGGCTGAAAGAAATCACTGATATTAGTAGTGGTGTTTGGCAGTCAAAGATTATGAGCAGCTTATACGTGTATGTCGTACACACACGATCATCACTTTCAGGACATGCACAACCGGTTAGCGCTATTACTGGAGCTGTGTTGGCAGCCTGGCGCAAGGTAACTTGGGACCATCGAATGCAGCCGTCCTCCTTGTGCCTTGCTTCGATGTCTTCTCCCCCTCACCAATTTAACTGGTGCCTAAGGTGCAGTCAAGGGTGGCTGCTCTGTTATCCAGTTGAGGAATATGTGTCGTCTTGGATGCCATCGCGATCCTCAGATCAACCAGCGATCTCATAGCGTTTGCATCCATTGTTCATGTTCTGTTCGTAGACAATTTCTTGTATATTTATATGCGAACCTCGGCTTCAACGGGATACGCTGCATCGACAACGGCACCGTCGTCATCCACGGCGGTCGTCTGCGCGCCCATCCGGCAGAGTGCCACCTTATGGACCGGCACCTTCTCCATCCACACAAAGTCATCGTAGCGCTCAATCAGCTCGCGTGCATCAAACGTTAGCTTTTCTCCTCCTCGTCCACGTCCTCCTCCCCCTCCGCCGTTGCTTCGCGGCTGCTTGGCATACACTGTGTTCACAATTGTTGCGTGCAGCAACAATGGCCGCTCGTCGGGGACCATGAGGTCGGCAAAGACAGTCCGCACGCGCTCACAGAGTTCGAGAAGAGGACCGCCTGCTGCGGCAAGACTGCCCGTCTTCTCGTCTACCGGCGACGCATAGAGCACAGTAGCCCGCGCTGGCGGCTGCATGGCATGGAGGCCGCGAAGGGCCATGGAGATGGGCATGTCCTTGCCTCCGGCTGCGCCTTCGGCTGCCTCGTCCCGCCTTGCGAGCGACTGGAGCCGGGACACAGCCTCCTGCAGTCGGTCGCCGTCGCCCAGACTCAACACGCCCAGCGTCAAGTGCAAAGTACCGACCGCTCGTAGTGCCGTGGGCGGCAGCGGGCCCCGGCTCGTTCTCGCGTTCCGGTCGTTGGCACTACTGGGCCCGCCGTTGCCGCCGCTGGTCATGGCGACCGCAGTAGCTGCCACGTCAGCATGGAATGTGGCCAGACTGTCAGCGAGCTGTGGCCGGCCGACTGTGGTTGCCAGCGGGATGCATAGAAAATGCGTCAGTTGCGGCCGCGGAGGTGGTTTTGGTTTTGGCGGCGGCATGGCGAATGCGGAGGTTATGTAATTGCTTGGGAGTTGATTTGCTTGGTTTAGTTGTGGTTTAAGGCGGATGCGGACGTTCAAATACTGTAGTTGAAACGCATATTAGCTGGTGTGATGTCATGCGCTACAAAGTCAGGCACCATCCACTAAAATAGTAAATTGCGGAATTTCTAGAGCACACTAAATCTAGTCATGCACTGTATCTTACTGGGTGCCATGTTGTGGATTTATCTAAGTAAACAAAAATCTAAATGCTTTTGCCTTTTGTGCCTTTTGTGCATTTTGTGCCTCACGCCCTAATCTCAACTCAGTCGTCCTCCATCAGGGCGGCAAGCTCGGCCTCCTCGTCAGCCGTCATCAAACCCCCCTCCTCAGCATTTTTGTCGGCATCGTCATCGACAATCCCAGCTGCTGCAGCCGCACGGTCTTCCTTCTGCTGCTTCACGAGGGCATCAACGTCGGCTTTGACCAGCGGCCATGTCCGCACCGTGCCGTCAAGACTGACACTGCAGAGCCGCCGTCCGTCGCTCAGCACGACCAGGTCAGTCACTTCGTCAAAGTGGCCTGTGATCGCAGCGTAGCGCACAGTGGCCCGGTCGTCAGTAGCATCGGCTGCGCCAGTGCGGTCCCAATATTGCAGGTCTTCGTCGCGCCCGGCCGTTATCACCCACGCATCTGTCACGGCCACGGCGCGCACATGATCGCCGTGGTTGAACGTGCTGCTGCCGCTGCCGACGGTCTCACGATGCTGGAAGCCGTGCTGACGCGACAGGCACTTAGCCGTGCCGTCACCACTGGACGTCCACAGGTTGACATCCTCACCGTTGTCATCGTCGTCGTCGCCGCCGCCGCCACCGCTGTAGTTGTGGTCCTCAAACACGACCTTGTATACGGTCGTCTGGTGCGCCAGCAGCGTCTTCTTGGGCCGGTCTGTTGTGACGTCCTTGTTGTTGACGTCGTCCTGTGCATCCTCCGTCACCTGCTCCCAGCCGTCCAGACGAATCCGCCACCTGCGAATGTGCGGGTCGCTGCTCGCGCTGACCAACCAGATCTCGTCGCGCGTCGTTGCCACGGGGTCGATTGCCAGATCCTGCAGCGCCAGCATGCTCTGTCGGTTGCCCTTGGCTGTCGGCCCGCTGTCCTGCAGCGTGTGCAGCCGCTTGCCCGATACCACATCCCATACAATAATCTTCTTGTCCGCGCCACCGCTGATGAGCACATCCTGGTCGCCCAGGCGCCCACACACGACAGCTTTGACAAAGTCCGTGTGGCCACCGCCACCGGCACCGCCGGCCAGGCCGTACCGTATACCTGGCTGGTGCGTATCGCGATCAAAGGACCAGACTGTCTTGTCCCAAGACCCCGCAAAGAGTGTCTTGCCACCGGGGCCGCCGAGCGCGAGCGACGTAACTGGCGCCGCTGGGCCGCGATAGGCCGTGGCCTTGACGTCGTTGTCGCTCTCGTCGAGCACGTTCACGCGCCGGGCGGATCCAGCTGACTCTGCCACAAAAACGTGGGCTGCCGAGGTTGGGTCGGCGAGAACGGCCAGGACCTTGGACTTGAGCAATACGGGGCTGCCATACTTGTTTGCCGACTTGGCTGACCGGCGCTCCCTCTGCTCCTGGGCGGCGCTGTCGCCTGTTAGCGGATGTTCTCTTCTGGATGTTTATCTTGACAATGGATAGAAGGCAGTCTCAGTTGCCCCCTGAGACGGAGCAATTTTGATTTTCAAACTCACTCGGTCTCAAAGAACCGCTGTGGATCGGCAGTCTGCATTTTGCGCTGTTCTTGGGAAACTGAAAGGTGGACACAGTCTACTTGCTGTTCCTCTCCTCTTCTTTCCCTTCTTCCCAGAATCTAATGCCGGATCTCTGTATAAATAAAGAGTTCCGATGTGGTTGCCTAGGAACGTATTTGTCTGCCTGTTTGTGTCGATAGAGACAATAGGAGAACATGAGAAAGGAGGCGGCCAGGTGGCAGCCGGTCCGGCAAGCGGCGGTCGAAAAGCTCCTTTCCTAGTGCTCGATTTTTGGCGGGGCTCCTTCCATTTCGACAAAGCGCCAAAAGGGGAAGGCCCCAATTAAAATGTCCATTAACGAGCGACGCGCCTCGACGCGTCTTCCCCACGGCCAAACCGCAGCGAGCATCGCGCTGTATTATTTTGCGTGTGCCTCACCACACCTGACGATGACCACGACAACGCCGACTGCCACAAAGCAGCCATCATCGCCCAATCCAATCACCAGCATTGCCGATTCGCACTGGGGAGGCATTTCCTAATTCATTGAGCTTGTATAAAGCGATCAAACAAACTTGAACGACGACCTTGTCTGTTTCTCGTCAAATCTCCTCGTCGTTGTCTTTCTACAGTCGCTTTTCGTCCGTCTCCAAGCCGTCTAGCTGCTTCTCCTCACCATGTCCGCTGCGGCGTCGCGCCCGCGGCCGCGCCCTGCGCATGGCCTCGGCTGCACTCGCTGTGCTTACACGCCCAACGGCCGCCAGCTGATCTCCGTCGGCGCCACCAACACCATCCGCATCTTCAAGACGGGTTCCGACGGCGAGCCCACCAACGTCGACGACTGCCAAGAGCAAAATGTCAGTGTCGCCGCCACCGACACGTTTTTTGTTGCCGGCTCCGAGGATGGCACCGTTAGCCTCTACTCCCTCGACGCTCCACCCTCCTTTGAGAGCTTTCTGCTGCGCACGTCGCTGCCCGTGCGTGAAGTGGCCCTGTCGCCCGATGGCCGCTGGTGCGCCGTGGCGAGTGACGAGCTGACAGTGCGCATCGTGCGTGTTGACGACAATACGGTCGTCCGCCACCTGCGCGCCCACAACCGGCCAGCCAAGCACGTGTCGTTTGACCCGAAGGGTCGTACAGTTTCTGTGTCTTGCACGGATGGCATCATCTACGTTTACTCGCTGATCGAGACGGACGACGAGAACGAGACTGGTGCCGCGGGACCCGATGCTGCTGAAACCAACAACAACAACAACAACAACAACAACAGCACAAAAGGCGACCCGGCCCTGATTCGCAAGGTCGACGGCATCATCGGCAGCCTGGACTCGGAAGCCGACACCTCTGCCAAGGTCGCCTGGCACCCCGACGGCCGTGCTTTTGCCGTGCCGACGCCCACGCGTGACATACAGGTCGTCTCAAAGCACGACTGGGAGAAGCAGCGCGTGTTTGCAAATGGCCACGACGGCGAGATCACCGCGCTCGCCTGGTCGCCCAACGGCGCACTCCTGGCATCCGCCGGAAAAGACGGCAAAATTCTCCTGTGGGAGACCAAATCCCAAAGCGTTGTCGCCCGCTACGACTACAGCGGTGTCCAAGACATTTCCTGGCACCCGACCAACAACCTCGTAGCCTTCACAAACGGCGAGGGTGAGGTGTACATCTACCCAGATTTTATCACCGCCCAGTACGCCGTGCTGCTACGGTTGCCCACGCAGCCGAGCCCCTTCATCCACGACCCGCTCGGCGAGATCTCCGCCAACGGCCTTGCCCGCCGACCACAGCAGCAGCGGCCAGACGGCAGCCGCAATGCTGGCGGTGCTGAGCAGTCGGGCCTGGTTGCCCGTGAGGCTGTGGAGGGCGACGACGACGATGAGGACCTCGACAGTTTATTGAATGGCGACGACTATGACATGATGGCCGATGATGACGACGGTTTTGTCGTGGACGACGACGGCGCTGGCTACACCATGGCCGGCGCCAATGGTGGCCGTAAACGGCCACATGACGGCGACAGCGGACTTCTCCCAGTCCGGGGTGCCAAGCGAGCCGGCGGTGCTGGCGCAGGTGGCCGCGCGCTGTGGCAGCCTCAATACCACCCGGCCTTCCAGCCCGGATCGACGCCCTGGCGCGGCAACCGTAAGTACCTTTGCCTCAACCTCGTGGGCGTGGTCTGGACCATCGACCAGGACGCCCACTACACTGTGACGGTCGAGTTTTACGACCGTGAGTTCCAGCGCGACTTCCACTTCACCGACACCTTTTTATACGACAAAGCCTGCCTCAACGAGCACGGCACACTCTTTTCGTGCCCACCACGTGGCGCTGGCGACGGATCCAGTCCATCGTCTTCGCCTGCCATGGTGTTTTACCGCCCACACGAGTCTTGGACACAGCAGCGCCTCGACTGGCGCACCAAACTGCCAGCCGGCGAATCCGTCGTCGCCATGTCGCTGAGCGCATCGTTTGTCACTGTCGTCACAAGCGCCGACTACGTGCGCGTCTACACGCTGTTTGGTGTGCCCTACCGCGTCTACCGGCCCAAGAGCACGCCAGTCGTCACGTGTGCGAGCTGGAAGGACTACGTTTGGACGCTGGGCAATGGTCCCATGGCGCCCGACGGTACCGCGCGCCTGCAGTACACCATTGAGAATGTGCAGCGCGACGAGATCTGCCAGAACGAGGACGCCGTCGCGCTGCCTGCTGGCGCTTCGGTGCAGTCCGTCTTCTTTTCCGACGAGGGCGAACCGTGCATCTACGACTCGACCGGCACGCTGTTGACACTGCTGCATTGGCGCCGGCCGTCACGCGCATCCTGGGTGCCGCTGCTCGACACGCGACAGATGGCACGTCTGGCATCAGGACGCAAACACGAGACGTACTTCCCCATCGCCGTCGCCGACGGCAAGTTCCACTGTATTATCCTCAAGGGCGGCGACCAGTATCCCTACTTCCCGCGTCCGCTGTTGTCCGAGTTTGATTTCAGCATCCCGCTGGGCCGCGCGCCTAAGCAGACTGAGACTGCTGCTGCTGACGACGACGCCGACGAAAATGCCGACGACGATGCGGCCGCCAACCGTCTCGAGCATACGTTTGTTCTACACGGCGTACACGCCGCCCAACTGGTCGACCGTCTCGACATGGACGGCGAAGGCAAATCCAAATCCTCGTACGCACTCAAAACCGCACTCGCGCGCCTCGAGCTCGAGACCGACAAGACCTTGCTGCAGCTGCTGGCACTCGAGTGCCGCGCCGGCGAGGAGCGTGGCATGCGCGCGCTCGAGCTGGTGCGGCTGATGCGCGATGGCGGTGGCAAGATGGTCGAGGCTGCCGGCAAGGTGGCCGAGCGGTACGGCCGGACGGTTCTGGGCACCAAGATCCGGGCCCTGGGCGAGCGGCGTATGCAAGGCCAGCTGGGCTTGCTGGATGACGACGATGAAGATGACGAGTAGATTCGAAATGAAAGGGGCAAGGGGTTGATGGGTGAGAACGGTTGGACCAAATTAGGGGATGGATGCAACGTGATTGATCTGCAGGGCCAACCAGAAAATAAGACGAAAAGACGAACGATCATGGGTCAACGAGCCGGGAACCGGCGAAAGGAAGCGAGGTATACGAAGAGTCGTTCTCGGGCGTTTCACTGTCTGGTTTTGTGATTTCATGCATGGCTTTACGTTACGGGATACGAATGTTGGTTGTATTTTTGGTACTGTTTTGGTATGTGTTTTCATTTTTTATTAAGGGTTTTTATTTTACATTTTTTGTTTTTATTTCCGTTTGCTTCCTGCGTCTTGTTTTGTTCATGTTGATGCTCCAAAATGATTTTGCGTTCCTCGTCTTGCGCCTCGCGGTGGTCGTTCGTCACAAAGACACAATTGCAGACGACGGGTACAGTCGATGTGATGGCCGACTCAAGGTACGTCCTGCAGCATCTGTACTGAGTACTATTCGTCTGCCGCGCAACTTTGCGCTTTGCCAACCGGGCAGCTGTGCCGCCCCTGATTCTTTTCCAAAACCTGGGTGGAACTTCTGACGTTCGTCATCGGGAACAGGCGTTCGAGCTTCTGATCTCCACGCCCTGCGACCCCTCTTCCATCGATACGCTTCTTGCTCCTTCAAACGGTTCCCCCATAGCGGACGCCGCCCTTACCAAGACACCAAGACGTATCAGTAGCTCTCTGTTGACGGACGCCTATTTGTCTTCCCCAGCTTAGTCCAGGGTTGATCTTTCATAAGGAGCGCCGCCTGTTGGTTCCCGGTTTGCTATGACCTGCTGAGAAACAAAAGATAGATTAAGGGGTGCGGGATCGACTATTGTTCCGAGGTAAGATGCGGAGTACCGTGACGAAACTCGCGAGCTGAGAGATGCTGTCTGCATTATAGGGTGACGACAGCAACTTGACAAGACAATCTATTTTCATGAGAGGCACCAGGCTGTGAGCGGGGGAAAAGGTATAAATGGCAGACCCAACAGACAGCTTCCACTTCGGTCCTGGAGGAAACCGACAATATCATCCGCAGGACGAATTGGACATAATGGCCCGGGGACTATAACAGTACAATATCGTGAAGAGTGGTGTATGCAGTACTGCAGTATGTCGAACTCCAAGAAACCCAAGAAAATGCATTGCCATATGAGCACAGTACGGAGCATCGGACCATTGTTAGATAATTCAATGTCAAGAGGCTGATTCGGCGATCGTTTTGTGTCAATATCTGCAGCAGCTGATTGAAATACGACGCTTTTGTTGTCGCGCTGCTGTCATAATCGCAGCTTCCCTACATGTTAGACCGAAACAGGCTACTCCGTAATCAAAAGTCTATGCAGGGGCAAAGCATTGACCAATTTTATGTTTATTTTTGGTACTCTCCTATTTATTGTCTCGAGGTTAGTTTTAAATTGTACTTTGAAAAGAAGCCCCAGAGAAACAACTTTACAAATGCTTAGCGTTGCAAGCCCTGGTAGAGAGCAATAGGACTGATTACCTCTGCAGGTGACGAGAGGAGGAAGAAAGGGGGCGATGGTAGGTAGATCAGGCAAAACTGGTCTTCGCGGGTTCCAGTGAAGAAGGTTGACAGGTGATGAAACATTGAGCTTTGACCGCTAATGAAATGGGTTGCATGTTGCGCTCAAGCACACAGAATTCTGAATTGTGTATTTTATGTGTAATTGCTACAGTACTTTGACCAGCTTTCTCTGATATTTGAGAGCTGCCAGTCGCTTTGCAAGAATGCTCAAAAGCAGTGCCAAGAGCCGAAGGATGGGGTTGCATGGGACCGTCCTCGACGTTCTCTTATTCAACATACCGAGTCTAAAGGCTTGACCGGTGGACTAGCCTCTTGCTCCCCACGTTTGGGGAACATTTACCTGCGAGATCCGACAAAGCGTGCCGTGTTAGCAAGTGTGTGACTATTGGTTTATGTCTCGAGCCGTGGCCGGACAAACGTTTTGAGTACCGTGTCGTAATTTCCGTGCCGGCGAAGTATCTGCCTCATCGTAGTTCGTCTTGTCACAGTGTTTGCAGTCCAGCCACAAGGTAATTAGTCGACGGGTGTACCATGTACAGTATAAAAATAAATAAGTGCTTACCGAGGTGCGGCACCGACCGGCAGTTCGTATATTGTTTCTCGGACGCAGCCCTCCTTGGTCGTGTTTTCAAAGAATTTGTGTACCGAGAACTCCTAGGGAGCACCGCTCACGGGCATCCGACTCGGTACATGATTGTATGCTTGCGTGCATTTGTACATGCACTCGGTGCATGTCTGTCTAGAACGAGGGCGGGGCGCTAGACAGACCACAACATTCACCACGCAAACCACATACCAGGGATCTGGGGCGTTTGCTAGGGCGTTTGCGAGTGAAGCTGCCGCCGTGTCTCTTTGCGTTCATCGCTTTCCGCTGTATGTCGTAGTTGATTGATAATTGGCTCATATGTCCAGTCGATATCAGATCCATTCGTAGCCTCGACGCAATCTTACCAGAAGGGAGGGCAGTTACAACTGAGACTTCGGTATGGTACGCATGGGGGTGTAATGGCCGTGGCGTGTTGTATGCCATCTGTGTCTTTCTGTCTTTATCCACGCCGCGTTGCCGTCACATGTAGCCTCCTTTCAGCGCTATCTACTTCTCATCGTCGTGGCTTTTTGTATCACCAAGCCGAGCACTTGTCATCTGGGCGTGTGAATTTAGAATATGTCCGGGGAAACCACCAGTAGCAGTGAGCGTGGGGGCTGTTGCCGACATCAATATGGTCTGGCATTGTTGACAGGGATGTGTGTGATTTGTTGTGTAATAATATGTGCGATGCCTGAATTGAGGTGCGTGGGCCTTGTGTGACACATGCAGCATTTTTTGTGAACTATTTTGTCAGTTGTCAGTTCTCGTTAAACCATGAGTCGGGTGTGGGAGTACCGACGTAAGACAAGGCCGAGGGCTCACAAGGTAGTAGAGAGCGGAACTGCCAACGAGAGCCGCGGACAAATCGAGAGCTCGTCACCATTGTCAACGGAAAATTCCCCGATTCTGATCAACTGTTGGGAGAAAGACAGGGGGCGCCAGACGCTGATCTGCCAGGGCTGGCCAACCCTTTCTTGTGTCATCCCGAGCAGAGGTCTCGCTGTGCCCGAGGGTTTTGTCGCACAGCATTTCGGGTACGCTGCGCGGGAACTTGGGAGTGCGTGGCTTCTTGTTCTAGGCAGAATGGCGCAACGAAGGCAGATGTTGCTGATGGCGATGTAACTTGTGCCGGTCGTCGCCATTCCTTGCGCTCCTTCTTCCCTTAAGGTGCAACGCGTGTTGTTCATTTTCGTTGGATCCTTCCCTTTTCATAATTTGGAGTTGTTCCGTCGCCACCTCTTTCTCATTTCTGGCAGGACCAGTTTGCACACGGGTTATTTTACAAGAAGGGGCGGACCATGGAAAAAACGCAGCTGCCTTTCTTGGACAAGATATTGCACACAAGATGGCAGGACCAACTAGCTCGAATGTCCTTCCTATTTCGGCAGCCAGACTTAACACCACTGTGCTGCATTGTGAGGTTGCCGAAGCGAAGCCGAACTTCTAAAGAGGAAGGGACATAAAGAATATGCCCTGCCATAAGGAAAGAACAGTATTTGGCCAAGGACATAGTGCAAAATTCCATTCTACGCATCGCACTTACCTTACCACAATTGGCCTGCCCCGTAGTTCCCTACGATGGATGTTATGACGACGTCACACCCGATCGCTCCTTCTTATAGCAATATCAAGCCGTCCAATACGACGCACTGCATCCCCCTCCTCTGTCCCCTTGACCGCCCATCTATCCTTCGCACTCTGGAAAAAATATCAACAAACGGCAGTGCCCCAATCGTCTCTCCAGTGTTCTGGACTCGTCCCCAATGGTACCACCCCGTTCTCAAGCTGCCTTGTCTGTCAGTGTCACCAGAGATTGGTTAATGTTACTAACAAGGCAGGGCCAGAAAGTCCGCGCAGATCTCCTTCTGTACAGGTACATCGTCACCCTTGCTCAGCCACGAGATACGGTCCCTTCATTTCCATCATTTATGGAGTATGTCGTATTGCTCCCGTTTTTAATGTGTCGTTGTAGCATAGCCCTACGCCGTTAGTATGGCCCCTTTACGGAATAGAGCCTCATCTTTCCAGAGACGTCCCAGAGCCCCTGACCTTCGATTGGAGGTAGGTTGGAATACGATACAGCATTCCAAGGGAGTGCTTTTGAGTGCCGCTTCTATCAAATGTTACCCCAACCAATGCACATCGCAAACCTCGATATCTGGCGGCTTGTCTTTCCGTGGACTGTCTGTCGACCCACCCATACACACCAGTTCCTTCGCTTCCGCTGGCTCCTTGGCTTTGTAAACATTGCCGATACTCGATAACCTTGCGGCCGACACTTTACGTTGACCTTCTTTCAGCCCAATCTGCACAAGCAAAAGGTTCCACAAACTCCCACAAGCTCTTGCACATAGACAGTAATATCTTACCAGGCCAAATCCGTTACCAACCATTGCTTACCAGGACTGTGTCGTGTATCCTGCTGTCGTGCAGATTGGGCTTTGGGCACACTTACAGGCTGATCGACAGCTCGTGAGCGGCGTAACAAGCCAAACCACGGCAGCCAAAGCACGAGAACCAGAACCGGAAACAGAGAGGGTCCCAGACGACGATGAAGACCAGACGGTACCAAAACTGCACAAACAAACGTCGTTAGATCGCCAGTTTCCCAGTCGGAGAAAGCAATGAGACAGTCCCAAACTTGCTATGTTCTTGGGTCCATTACTGGGGACGTTTCCAACGTAAGACCCACCGCTTCCACGCAAAGCTTCTACGATGTAAAGTGCTTCTGTTGACGTTTCTGCGAATAACACAGCTTTTCCGTTCCTTTTGATTCTCCACTCCCGTTTCCCGTCTTGCGCAGGCTTGTCAAACTGTAAAGTCTCACTAACCAAAAGGTGCCACTTATGGAGTCACTAGCGGGTTTACCTGGTGATATTTTTCGTCGCATCCTTCCTCCCTTTTTCCTGCGTTAGCGCTCTTGGAAGCCCGCTATTCTTTCCCATCATCCACGTTCGTTACAAGTTCCGAGACTCGGCTATGGTGTAATGTCAACACCCTACTTTCGGGAACACTGTCTACAACACACTGTCAACGCAGTCCCTCTGGACGCTCCTCCGGGTCGAGACTGCGCCTAATAGCCCAGCTCGAGGTGGTCTTCAGCCTCTAGGAACTCAGGATACGAGGGTCCTAAGTAGCGACTACGCCCCAGTTAAGACTTCTGGAAGGCAAGCGAGGCGAGCTAGTAATATGCTGTAAGTGTAACTCTAAGTTCGCTCCCCTCCCTTCCGCCCCCATCTCACCTTTCTTTGTGGCCACCCCTCCCCCATATTTTTTATCTTTTCGTCCTCTTCCTCTATCTTGCCTCATCGCCAGCTTTGTGTCCTCGAGAGAGCCTTTCTAGTTGCTCTTTTCCCAGTCTTCGACTCTCTTATTGTGCTTCTTCCAATACATTGCCCACTTGCCCGGCCGTCCCAGAAACGAGGGATCAATCCTCTTTCTCCAAGGAATTACAAAACGGGTAGCATGCAGTGATAACCAAATCCACGACCTTGCACAGCAGTGGGTTGTGTGGAAAGGAAGGCGACTGACAAAATCCTCTGGCGAATGCAAACCAACACGTTATACCCTGCTTCAGTCCACCAGAAACCAGGCATATGTAACATTCCCTACTTGCCTCTTGCCCAGGTAATTACTGAGTATAAGTACTAGACTTGGTTGAGTCAACTGGTCTCGCCAGATGCCAGATGCCCTATACCATCACTAGTGCTGCTTTCTTAAAACACTCGATCCGAGTTAGCGGGCAAGTCTCTCTGAAGTTGGAGGCGATCATTCACAGTGCGGGCCGAACACAGCTACGAATTAACACCTAACAAGATACACACACGCGAAACATACGACATATTATTTCGTACCACACAACGCAGTTCAACTGACAAGCGACTTATTGGGACCCCGCGTACAATAAGCCGTACGCATACGCCGTTCGCCTCTCACACAAACACGGAGAACACACAGACAACGAACAAACTCCAACCGCTGTATTCGCGCCTTGTTGCCACGAATCCCATCCCACATCTCGATTTCCGGACGCCTCCGACCACTGTTCTATCCGTGCGACAGCCCCTGCTGCATCATTACCTGTCCGTCCTGTCTCTCCTGCACAGAGGGCGCCTTAAAGTACCCCTGGCCAGCCATTTCCAGGTGTGTGCGCATGTTAGAGCTTTTGGTCAATTATTTCAAGACACATTCTGCCGAGCAATACACGTGTTCCTGGAGACAGAGGCAGCAATAGCCACAGTAGGGTCCTGCTGGAACAATTCAGCACGAAATACAGTTGCAGGACAGGACACAATGCTCGACATTGTCTGTTTTGCAAGATCCTTACATTTTATCTTACATGCTCGCCCATCCCGCCACCACTAAATAGGAGCATCCGATAGAGCAAAGATCAACCCGCCGCCACCCCCGACCTGCGCTGCTCTTGCGCCCCAGAACTCGCATCTCACCTCGATCCCCTCTCCTCTCCCCCTATCCTGTCGAAGCACCGCCCAGACCTCCTTGAACAGCACGACGCAGTCTCGCAGTGCAGGTAGGTGGAGTCGTGCTGCGCTACGAATGCGCTAGTGTATGTTCGTTCCGCCTTCTTCGGTCTTGTCTTCTTTCTGTGGAAAGACGAAAGAGCTCTGGGACGTAAGACGACTTCTTTTCCTCTTTCTTCCCCCGTCATCGTCCCTTCCATTGCAAAACTACTCGCACAGTCAACAGGACAACTGTGCTGCAAATCCCGGGCCAACTGCGCCTAGTGCTCTGCTTTCTGTTCTCTTTCCTTGTGTCTGTATTTCGTACTTTCAATCTATTTTCCGTTGTTCTTTCTTCCCGTCCTCACGTCTAATCTCCCATTCTGCTTCGGCTCCTCCTGCGAGGTGCCTTTCCGTCACCAATCAGCACGCACGGTTGATTCTGAGGAAGCTTGGGACAGGCCCTTCTTACGCTTCTAGATCTTAGTTTCCAGTCGGTATTATTCATTTTTACCAGTCCGTCCCTAACACTGTGCGCCACCATTCTCCTCGTCTTTTCCATCCCCTCCCTCTTCCTGTTGTACACCTTTTGTCCTGTGTATACTTTTTGCCTGTCTTAGTCCCTACTTCCTTTTCGGTGTACGACATAATCGCGGCTTAATAGTCATTCTGTTTCTTTCTTTCTTTTATTTCTCGTTCTCTCCTTTTTCGAGTTTTCCCCTGCTCCTTTCTTCGACCTGCCCCTTTTTGATCCCGCATATACCAGGCCCGCCCGGCTTCGAATTTTTCTCCCCATCCGTCACATCCATCGCATCCATTGCACCCGTTGCATCCATCTTGCTGGTTGTCGTTCTGACCGGGCGATAGGCCGCACCGAACGGCTCCATTCTCGAACTCGCGGCACAGCGCAAAGTGCAGTCGCAATCGCATTCCAACCCACGGTCGATTTTATACTTATTTCGGCTGTTTCCTACAACCATTACCTCTCCGATACCATTGTCGCTCGCTTCTAGCCGTTGTCGGTTGCAGTGCTCGACGACCATACACGAGCACCAAACTTGTCGACGTGGATCAATTGCGCAAACTGTGGTCTTCGCTGGACCACTCTCCACGGACAGGAGTGGCGCACGGTTTTCTGCGAAAGAGGGAATAGGGCAATAGAAGACGAGCAACAGGCGAGGCCTGGATTGAAGATACCGGGACGCGCGGCGAGAGACTCAGAGGCCGAGAGAGAAAAGGAGAGTGGCACAGACAGATTGAGCGCGCGCGCGCGCCGGACGAGCTAGTGGACAGGACCAGCTGGCTGAGTGTGTATATGTGGTCAAGCAGCAGGCTAGCTTTGACACCTTCCAGCTTCAGAAAGCAATGAGGTTCGTATGATCTGTGTGTCTGTTTTTGCGACGGCTTCCTGGCGAGAATTCTCCCTGATTTGGCCCACGCCCTTTGGCCCCTTGTCGCTTTCGCCTTCCCCTCTCCATGTCGACAATGCCGCATCGACTGGCACATCCTGCGCATCACCGCTAACATGTCTTGCCTTTCTCGAACTACTAGACAATGACCGCCGCAACCCAATCCGCACACCTCCCACATTTGACTGACAGCCCTGGTGAGCCAATGGCTTCACGAACGATTCCGATAATGACGCCCACCATCCAAATGTCTGCTCCTTCGCCGGGCGACCCAATGGAGATCACAACTCCGACGAACAGTTCGCCCGCGCCGGCGCAGCGCTCCGACGACAAAAGCCCCGAACGCGAAATAAACGGAGCTTCCAACGAAAACTCGACGACTGCGGCCAACGGCTTTGGCAATGGCAAGGGTGACTCCACGTCTCCACCTGAAAGTGCCGAGCCAACGCCCACGAAGCCCGAGCCCAATAGTACACACCTGGCGGCCCCGTCGGCGTCGGGAACCAGCGCCGGCTCGCAAATACCAGCGGCAGCTGCGCCCGCAGTACACCAACCCAAAATTGTTCAGACGGCCTTTATTCACAAGCTATACAAGTGAGTTTGCTGCTTCTCATGTGCCCCACGCTCTCCGCCACGGCCCGGAACCGCGCTCGTAGCTAACCCTGCGCGAAAATAGCATGCTGGAGGACCCGAACATCCAACATTTATCTCATGGTCAACCTCAGCCGAAAGCTTCGTTATGTCGCCTTCGCATGACTTCTCTAAAGTGCTTGCGTATGTTCTTTTGTTCTTCTCCCCGCGCCCGACGCAAATCAAAGGATTGTAACGGAATCCGGCGTTTTGTCTTGCTAACCGGCCATACAGCCAATATTTCAAGCACACCAACATCTCGTCCTTCGTGCGCCAGCTGAACATGTACGGCTTTCACAAAGTTAGCGATGTTTTTGCCAATGGATCGGACTCGACCACGCTCTGGGAATTCAAGCATGGCAACGGCAACTTCAAACGTGGTGATCTAGTCGGGTTACGAGAGATCAAGCGCAGAGCATCGCGGCACTCTCTCGTCCATCGCGATTACAACGCACAGAAGGCGCCGCAATCGTCACAACCCGGAACGCCAGCGGAGGCCATGCCGATACCGGACGGTTCGGACCCGAGAATGTCAAGCCTGGACCATGCGTTCTACAACATCGAGTCTCGGCTACAGCGCAACGAGGAGGCGATGCACTATATGCACATCAAGCATCAGGCAGCTATGGACACCATTGGGCGATTGCTTCACTTCAACCAAGAAATGTCCCGTATCCTCATGAACATGATGCCACCTACGGACAGTCATCTTCACCGGGACGTCATCGCCTTGCAAGGCGAAATCCAGCGACAGGCAGAGATGGCCCGGGGCCTTGACGAGTCGCACGAACATCCTTTTTCCAGCAGCCGGCCGTACTTTGCCAACGTCGACAATGCTCCCGTGTCTCCGCGACAGATGCCCCAAGACGACCCGAGACGCTCTAATCTCAGCGTTCCGCAGCAGCGGCCACCCAACTTTCACCGGCCGCCAGTACCTTCGAATCTCTCCATCAGCACACGGCGACCGTACGGCTCCATCGGTGGAACGACTCAGTCCTCTCCGTCCTCTGTGCGCCCACAGCACCCACCCCCGCCGCCTCCACCGTCGCAGCACCCGTTGGCCACTGTTGAACCGTCACCTAACATGGCACGCCGCCACACATCGGCTGATATCCGTGCCCATGGCTGGCAACCGACCAATGCCCCTTATCCACCCACGGGCGGCCCTCCGCTTCCTCCAACACAGTATCCATCCTCACCCAGCAGAGCGGGTCCTCCCGAAGACCAGCGCATCCGTGACTCCTTCTCCGCCTACTCGCTCCAGTCCGCGTCACAGCCCCATTCGCGGCCGGAAACACCGCCACCCACATTGCCGCCATTTGCCAACGGCAGCAACCACGGCAATGGCAACGGGCCAGACCTTGGCAACTGGTCGTGGGCTTCGGCCAACCGCAGCAACAACAGTCTCAACATCAAGGACAGCTCGGCACCACCCACCAGGCGTGGCAGCATGGCGCATATTCTGAACCCGACCGATACGGCTGAGCGCGAAGACGAGGATGGAAGCCCAAGAGAGGACGAGCGCAAGCGTAAGCGCATGGTATGACGGCAGTGTCCGCATGTGTGACTCCCTTTAGCCAACTCCAGGTAGTGCCTACGTGCTCGGTTCATATTTTCACCACTTTCTAGTCTCGATTTTGGATACATGAACCTTTGTTTTGATAACGAGTTTCAGTTTGTTCTCTCGTCTTTGGATATTTGAGGCATTGTACTTGTACGGCTTCTCCCATTTCTTTCTGTCTTTCTTTTTTTTCCCTATGTTTGCGGTCGCATTTTGCAAGGAAGTCTTAATATCGACGCGGCATTGTGGTTTTTACATGGGATCGGCCGTGGTGCTTAACATGGCGAGAACGGACATCCAGGACGGGCGAAGGCTTCGAACAAAAAAAAATAGGGGCGTGGGACTCGGCAGGACCAAGATGGTTCTCTCAGACTGCATACGATAACGGCCTAATGTCTATATATATCATTGACGACAAGTGGTTGGTCTACCGGGGAAGGAAACAAGAAACAACATCTGACAATCATACACCAGAGCTCCTAGGCGAGTTCTGGCACAGCATCTATTAACATCCCGGGGGTTATCTGAATTTTCTGGTATGCAAGAGGGCATCACCATATACCATTGGGAAGACTGTTACACTTCATTTTTTATTCTTTATTTTTTGGAAGGAGTGTGTGGTTTGCAGTTCTTAATGTTGTCAGTTGTTCGATTATGTATTGATTTTTGGATTATGAGTTTTTTTATATTTCGAAACTGTGAATTGGTACGTTCCACAAAACGAAGACACGGTAACTTTTTTCAAGGACATTGGCATTCTTGAAAGCGAGACGCGTCATTTTATTGGGCATGTTAACCACAATACGCCGTAATATATCTCAAAACGTGGCAAAACGTGTTCGTCTGATGTTTGAGCCCCTAAGCGCAGAGGAGCGCCGTCGGTTGTCGCTAAATCGCCAGGCTGTTTAGCGCCTTTGTTCCCCCCATTTAGGCCTAGCGAGGCTGTTTGGCGATGGCCTCAGCCTCGTGGAAATTTTTGGCGTAGCTAAACTTCTTTCCAACCTCACTCGAGACTGCTTTTTTTTTCTTTTTTTTTCATCCACATCGATTCCACCCGCCTGCGTTGTAACAAAGACTAGAAAAGAAAAAAGACTGGAACGTATACAGAGCATGGCGTCCGTTACCTCGGCCAAGGCCGGCAGCAACAAATCCACCGGCAATCCGAACCCAACATCGGCCCAGTATGCAGCACAGCGTGGCTCGATTGACATGCTGATGCGCGCCAAAGACACAAGGCCGCCGACGAGCGCAGCTACCGCCATTGTCCGTGGCGAGGCATCGACAACAAGTTCTTTGGCGCCGCCCAAGAGGAGCTTTCTCGAGGCTGTGCGTGCCCAGCGACAAGTCCGCGTGCAAGAACTTCGCAATGCGCCGAAGCCCAGCGGGTCTGTCGGAGGAACAGTGGCGGCGGCGTCCACGGCGACAGCCGATCCGTCCAATTTCCACAAGGTCAGTGGTGGTGGCAGTTTCTCGGCGCTTGCAACAACCAAAGCCAAGGCCAAGGCCAAGGCAAAGGCAAAGCCACAGGCGCAAATCAACACGGACTGGGTAGCAGCATTGGCCTCGCCATCCTCCATCACAGGCACCAACACGGCCGGGGCAGTATCCGTAGCGACGACGACATCGACATCAACGGGCCCATCATTTTCACAGGTTCAGGACGAACTCGAGGCCGGCTTCCAGAAATACAGCCGAGCCAATCCACTTGGCGGCGTGGGCACGGCCCGCGGTGGGAGCGATTCCGAAGGTGGTGTGCAGAACCCGAGTCAGGGTCAACAGAGCCAAGGCCAAAGCCAGAGAACCGATGTGCCCATGACGGCAACAGCACGAAATCTCAAGGCGCGGCAGCTCATGGTTGCGCCGCAGTCTGCCTCGCGACGGGAGGATGAGAGAATCGCCGCGACCAAGAAAAAGCACTACAACAACGGCGGCGACGATAGCAGCGACGAGGACGTTGGGCGGAGTGCACTGGGACGCAAGAAGGCACGCAAGGGTTGAATAGCAGATGGAAAACTGTCGGCCACAGCACGACAGAGCAGATCCTACACAAAAGAGATGGCACCGGCTGCCGAGTCATGACGTCTTGCGATATACGCGAGTCGGCGGCAGCCCGGTGACACAAAATGCGATAGTTGATTCGAGCAACACGGGAATCTTCGGTCTCTTCCAGATGGGCTTGCATCGGCTTACGCAAGCTCCCCTCTCATGGGAGACAAACTGGTCGTTGATCCCGCTCGTGGGAGGACTTGGAAGCAGGCGACGCGAGACTTAGACTGAGGCTATATTCTCAAATGGTCTATCTATATTGTACCACTTGTCCTTCGCTGTCCGCCGGCATTCATAAAATATCAAGTCATTTTCCCTGTCAATCATGTGTCATATTTTTGTATATTGTCGTGCTACATTCTGTTTCACCACCTGTTGCTGCCTACTGTGCACGCATATGTGCATCTAAGCCCCGTCACTTCTTCATCCACGCATCCACGGCGTCCTTGTAACTGGGCCGCCACCGAGACAGCGGCTCGCGGCCTTCGGTAATGTCGCCCGCCGACCACAGGATGCGCTTCTTGTCCATGGCTTCCGTCACGTCGTTGTCTGGGCAGATCACGTAGAACTTGTTGGCCTTCATCGCCGCCAGCAGGTAGTCGACCACCTGCTCGGGCCACCACGCGCCCTCGGGCTTCTTCGGCCGCTTGTCCGCGTCGTCGCCGTGCTGCTTGATGGGGTCGTTGCCACTGAGGCCCGTAAACGTCCAGCCAGGCACGAGCAGGTGCACGCCCGTCTTGGGCTGGTGTGCCTTGCTGTCCTCTCGGGACAGGTCGTACGCCAGCTGCTCGGCGATCGCACGAACAGCGGCCTTGGAGGCGTTGTAGGCCGGGCTCGTGCCGGGCGGGTTGGTAATGCCCTGCTTGGAGCCCGTGATGACAATCGAGGTCGTCGTGGCCGTGGGCGCATCGTTGGCCCGGGCGGCCGTGGCCTGCACGACCGGAAGCAGTGTGGCAATGCCGTGGATGACGCCCCAGAGGTTGACGTCCAAAATCTTGTGGAACGCCGCGACGTCCGTCCACGGCGTGCTGCCGCCGACACCCGCGTTGAGCACGAGCAGGTTGACGCGGCCCTGCAACGGCCCGCTGGCGTCCTCGACGGCCGACCGCAGCCCGGCCCAGTCTTTGAGCTGGGACACGTCCAGCGTGTGCGTCGTCAGCGAGCCAGACGCCGACGCTCCTCCGTACAGCGTCTCGGCGAGCTGGGCTGCATGCTTGGGCGTGGCAGCCAGCGACGCGGCGTCCTTGTCGGCCACGAGAACTCGCATACCGCTGGCCAGGCACTTGGCGGCCAAGGCAAGGCCGATGCCGGAGGCGCCGCCCGTGATGACAGCGGTGTTGCCAGGCCCGAAGACAGACATTGTAGTTTACTTTTGATAGCTGAAAGGTCGATGAGAGTTGAAAACTGATGCCAAGTTCAACATACAAGAAAAGTACAATTTGGTACGAACAGAGAGACGATGAGAATAGTGCCTGAGAACGGGGGCGGGATGGGATGATGATGGCAGTCGCTCCTTCTATTTGAGTAAGAGGCGCGACGAGATAAGTTGGCAAGCTGGCAAGGGCAAAAGTCGGGGGGCGCCAAACAAGCGGCACCTTCCCAAGCTGTAAGTGAGCGGCTCCGCAAAATGCAGAGTGCCGATGTGTGATGTCAGTTCGGACTTTAATGGAAATGAACCGGACGATTACAAACCACGTTTGGCAAAGGTAGAATGGCTGCGCATTACACCAACCTGGATGCTGCTAGTGGTCATAGACTGTGTTGAACAAATAAGAAAACAAAACGAAAACCGTTGGATAGAGGTATGGCAAGATCAGCAAACTAATACTACATGACAGTTGAAAGAAAACACCTGATAAAGATAAGAGACAAGGCGCAAGGAATAATGACCTCTTTACGACCCGATGCCTCAGGGCCAAACCAGCAATCGACAATAGATGAGCAAGGAAAAGAAAGACAAGAAAGACAAGAAAAACAAAGATTACACAAAGCAAACAAACCAAGCAAACAAACCAAGCCTGGACTCCTTCCCTTGACACATCCTAGTCCCAGAACGTCGCCCGCTCCCCGTACTTGTAGCGCTCCTACGCGGTCCGCGGAATGAGGGGCTGCTTGGCCAGGTGCAAGTTGACGCTCTCGCGCGCGTTTTGCGACGCCCACACGCTGCCCTTGCCGCCGCGCCGCCACGCCTCGCCCGCCAGGTCGCTGCCAGCCCCGCCGCGCACCGACTCGCCCATGATCATGTCGAGGTCGCGCTTCTGCGAGCTCAGCCACTGGCGCACAAAGCGTGCCGGGTCGCGTGCCAGTCCGCTCAGGAACTCGTGCTTGCTCTTGGACATGCTGATGGCCTGCACCAGCACGGCCAGCTGCTCGTCGAGCACGCCCACGTCGCGCAGCAGGCCAATGTACTGTGGGTTCTGCACAAACGGCCGCAGCTGCGCGCGCAGCGGGTCGTCGACGGTGACGCGCACGTCGTAGATGGTCGGCTGCGGGTTGTTGCGGTGGAACGCCTCGTCGACGCGGATCGTGTACGGCAGCTGGATGGGCGGCAGCGGGCGGATGTGCGCGTTGACGTACTCGTGCAGCATCGGAACATAGCCGATGTCGTTGTTGACGAGCCTGCGCAGCAAATCGTCGCACCGGAAGTTGCGCTTCTCCTCGTCCTCTTGCAGGTTCTGCAGCCGGATGTACTCGAACAGGCCCATCACGGCCTCGGCGCGCGTCGCCTCCTGCATGTCCACAATGTCGGACAGGACCTCGTCCAGCGCAAACCGCTCGGGCTCCTCGTACCGGAACAGGTTGATCACAATGTTCACGTTGTCGTCGCCGGGCCGCTTGAACGTCAGCTCGTCAAACTCGGGCACCGGCGCCGGCGGGAGGTTGGGCTGGCCGGGCGCGTTGGGTGGCCGTTGCTCGGGGCGCTTCCATTCGACCGGCCGCGGCTCTGCATCGTTGGCGCCGTTTTGTGCCGCTGCCCGTGATTTCTTGACGACATACTCCGCCGACATGGCACGGAAAAACTGTGTAAACCGGTACCGAGGCGGCTTGGCCTTCACAGAAGCAGCGTCGTCCGTCTCCATCGCATCACCACCGTCGGCCTCGTTGCCGGCCTCCTTGGCGGCCTTGCTCTCGTCTGTCTTGGTCTCGTCGGCGCCCTCGGCGCCCTCGTCGTCGTCGTCGTCGTCGTCGAGGAGGCGCCCCTCAATTTTCACGCGGTACGAGGCTTCTGCATTGGTCGAGAAATCAAAGCTGTCGACGTTGACACCGGCGCTATCCGTCTGCCACAGCTGGTTTTCGACCGTGTTGCTGACCCAGATGCGCAGTGTCTTGTATCTCTGTAGGCAAAAAAGTTAGTCACAAATTGAGCTTCAGGCCTAGGTGGTCCATGGGCCGATCGCAGCGTCCGTGGAATTCGGGGGCAAACCCACCTTGGGACCATTGCGCTGCACGCTATCCACAATGTCCAGCCGCTTGCGCGTCATCGTCGCGTCCAGCCGCCGCTCAAAGTCGCGCAGGTCACGGTACCGCTGCACGCCGTCGCCCACCACGACGTCCTCCACGCCGTCCGGCATCGTCTTGTCCGTAGGCTTACGGCTGCGTCGCTTGGCCGCCTCAATGGCATTGTTCTGGGCCTGCTGCGCGGCGGCCGCAGCAGCCGCCTGCTGGTGTTGTTGGTGTGCCTGGTGTGGCGGCAGGTGGTGCGGCTGCGCCATGGGAACCGGCGCGCCGCCGTGGTGATGCGCTCCGGGGGCCATGGTCATGGAATGCACGTTCGCAGCGTGCTGCTGCAGTTGCTGCTGTTGATGCTGTTGCTGCTGCTGCTGCTGCTGCTGGGCGAGGTGCGGATGGTGAGGTTGCGGCGCCAATTGATGCTGGTGAGGATGTTGCGGTTGCATAGGCATCGGCGCGTGTTGTAGCATGCCGTGATGCGCCACGCCAGCAGGAGCCATCATGGGGGCTAAGAAAAAAGGTTCGGAAAAACGTTAGTGAGGACGAGAACAAAATCGGGGGCGGTTTGCCGCTGGCTATTGTGCCACTATTTTGATGGGTCCAGGTTCCTTTCTGCCCCAGTTTCGCGTTGTCCAACGATTTGCACGGCGTCGATCTTTTGTCTCCTTGGCTCTTTCTGTGTCTTTGTCTCACCGTGCCTTTCGTTGTTTCTTTTTGTTCGCCCTTGCTTGTTTGACAAGGAAAGTGCGTTGCAACGAAAAAGGGTAAGGAAGGGCGACTCAGATTGACAATGGACGACAGAGCGTGGAAAGAGCCAAGAAAAGAAGGCGCGCGACCGTGCTAGGCGGTAAATTTAGTGCTGTCGGGGGACCTTGCCGCCTAGGCCTGGCCTTGGCCTTCCCATTTTACGCTGTAGTTTTTCGTCCTCCGCAACTGGTAATACTCGAGAGGAAAGCGCCACCCAGTCGCACGCCGTATTACGTACCTGGCCCGCCGCGTCGCGCATTGCCATGGGGCGACCGCTGCAACGGCATCTGTTGTGGATAGGGACGGAAGCCCGGTTGCATTTTCGCTGTATGACACCCTGGTCAAGATCAAGAGGACGAGAATCGCTTGTCATACACCATGCACTCCGGTTTCTGTCCACTGTCAGACTAGGGAATGGTCCTCCTCGTGAAGTCAAATCAGCCTTGAGTGATGTCCCGACAGGACTTTGCCAAGTGAATGGAATGAAAGAAGCAGCTGCAAAGAAGTGGAGAGGCGAGACACAGAACAGGAAATAAAAGGGTACAAAAGAACCCCCAAAGACAACGCGGCAAAGGGCGAAGAATGAGCCTATTGCGACCAAAGACGCCCCGTAGCCACCTTAACCTGGGCCGGAGTCTCCGTCTAAAAACGAGCCTTCCTTCCCCGTACTCCGTAATTCAGTAGTTCGGGTGGGGTTCCGCTGTGTCGCAGCACAGGGCTGGCGTTGTTTGCGAAAACGGAAAGGGCAAGGTTGGCCGAAAGTTGCGATGTGATATGCGATATAGGGCCTCGTTTTTGGCCGTGGCAAGAGGAGAATCGTCAGAGGGAAGGGAGTAATAAAAGGGCAGAGAAGGGGAGAGGACACGGGACGACGCGCCTCTTTCAAACGAGCAAAGCCCTGGCCAACTTGGGGGTCCAGGAAAAAGGTCGGGCCCGCTTCAGACGGGTGTGTCTGCTGCCAAGTACAATAACGTATCTAGTACATACTGTGATATACACTCCTTGCATTAGAATATGTACCTGTACATAAGCACGTGAGCCTGGTCATGAAGTCACGTGTATCGCCAACTTTTCTTGGTCATGATTACTCTTTGTATCGTCCACAGTATCAAGTTGAAAAGATTAGACGTAGTATTACAGTTTTTCCAGCGCCCACAGTCGAGTCGCTTTTGTTTTGCGATGTTGGTTGATGTGGCTGTTCTGATATATTTCCGGCGCCATGCTTCAAAAGTAAAATGCCAAATTACAAAATGCTATGGAGAGACAGGATGCCATGTAGAATTCAAAAAGAAGGGCACAAAACAAAGGAAAAGGGGAACGGAACGGTGACAGAATGCAAAAGTAAAACAAAACAAACATGTGAACCGCATTATGGAAAGCAATCGATGGCAAGAAAACGAAGGAATAAAGGCTCCACCAAGATGATGCAAAATAAAAACAGGCCACCAAAAAAAAGTGCTTTGTCTGGTCGTTGTAGAGAAGGATAAGAACTCCGTGACGAGGCCCACGGGAGCTGTGCCGTCTTAAAACTGGGCACCGAGTCCATTCTTCGATTGCCGCTTGCTGAAGCGGTTTCGTTTCCGCTCCGAGATAATCGTATCGTCACCATTGCTCTGGCTGCGTCCGGGGTGGTTCATCCGGCCGCCGAGCGTACTCGCAGGGCTGGACATTGACGAAGACATATCGCCAAACTCCTCGCTCCGGTACGAGGCAAGAATGTTTTGCGACAGGGCGAGATCTTTGGCCCGCTCCAGAGACTCGATCCAATCTTCGACAGCGGCCATGCCACCGTCTAGAGAACCCTGCTTTGGTTCTTCGAAAACATAATGCGTGCCATTCTACAAGTCTGTCAGCAGTCGTTCCATTGTATCAATTACCACGCACACGACGCCGAAAGTGTTCCACTTACCGTATCGACACACCAAATAGGCTGTCCCTTGGCGTCAGTCTGAGTCCTCCATACACAGTCTGAATTAAGAAGCGAGATCTCTTGCTTCGCCTTCTTCTCGTCTCCGCCTGCAGGTGCGAAGACAATACGCCCGCTCGAGGTGACCATGACCAACCGCTGCCGCTTCTTCGTTGTGTTGCCGCCAAAGAATCGGGACAGTTTCTTGTGGCCGTCTCCTTCCGATTTGCCATGAGGGCTGTTGGGGATTGGCGTCGACACGACCATGAGGTCACCCAGCTTGAGAATACGTTCGTTTTGCCGTGTCAGTACCGGTGACCAGTCAAGGTCCAGTTGCGTTGGGGGAGGAAGTTCCGTAATAATCCTCGGAGGCCGTTGACCATTGTTTGGCGACATCTGGGAGCCCGCCGCACCCCCTTTACCGCTGGGACTTGACACACCCCCGGATGCACCCCTTGACGTAGGTATCGACTGAGGCGGGGCGGCCGACCCATTGAGCTGGATAACGTGCGTTTCCTGTGTCGGCGGCATGTACGGCCGAAGCCTTGGCGCCTTTGTACGCCACAGATCGCGCCCAAAAGGCTGGCCGTCAAAGAACTCGTGGTTCATAATATGTTCGATTGTCAGCCGTCTGGCGGGCTCCAGAACAAGACACCGCTCCACCAAATCGCGAGCGGCCGGTGGGAATCCGGGTGGGAATTCGTACTCCAGGTTAACGATTTTCTGGAATGTCATATACTCGGATCCACCCTTGAACGGTGGTCGGCCAGCCAAAAGTTGGTAGATTATGCAGCCGAATGCCCAGAGATCGCTTGCTTTACTTGCAGACTTATCCATAAGAAGTTCAGGGCTGACGTATTCCGCCGTACCCACAAAGGATGCTGAGCGGCCGTCGCCCTGTGACGTCAAGGAGCCGCCCGTGCCGTTGCCGTCGGCTGCTGATGGGTCTCTTGGATCGGGCAGGAGCTTTGCTGTGCCGAAGTCGGTGATTTTGACGTGCATGTTTTCATCCAAAAGCACGTTTTCTGGTTTGAGGTCGCGGTGGATGACGCCTCTTGAGTGCATGTACCTGATGGCGTCAAGAATCTGAGCGCCGTAAAAGCGTGTGCACTCTACGTCAAAGGTTCCCGTCCGCTTCAGAATGCCAAGAAGCTCTCCTCCGCTGCACAGATCCAAAACGTAGTACAGAGACTGTTCGTCCTGGAACGTGTAGTACAACCGCACAATGCCAGGATGTTCCGTGAGGCGGTTGAGTGTGTTTTTCTCGATGTTGACATACTTGACTTTCTTCTCCTTGATGATGTGCTTCTTCTCGAGCACTTTGATAGCGTACTCCTTTAAGCTTTGACGGTCCGTTGCAAGGTAGACCGAGCTATAAGAGCCCTCGCCCAGTATCCGACCAAAAGAAAAGTCTTGCACACCTTTCTTGACTGTCCTGAAGACAGGTTTTCCGGATGCGTCCACTTCCTTTCTGACACTCACGGCTGCTCCCCGCTCTTTCCACTCCTCACTGCTTTTTGACACGGCGGTTTCCATCCCGTGCGCTACAGGTGGTCCAGACGACGCAGGACCTAAGCCGGCCGGGATAGAAACGTAGCCGCCACCCATGCCCTTTGAGCTTCGTCGTGACGGAAGGGGGCCGCTTCCTGACGCGAGCGGAATGCTCTGGCGCGGTCCATTGTATGTCCGGTCCGTATGGTTCGTCTCCGACGACAGTTCAGGAGAAATATATGAGGTGGGGGGGTGTTGAGAGCGAGACTCGCTTCGAGAAGGCTGCCGATATGACGCCGCACGAGCTGGTTCAGTGCTTCGCAAAGCACCATAACCCGTGGGTGAGTTCGAAGCTGGGTCTGTGGTGGCCCCGGAACCAGAGCTGGTGTACAAAGTTGACATGGGCCTTGCGGAAGACACCGCCCCGACAGACCCGGAACTCTGTCTGTATGCCGAGTATTGCGTCTGTAAATGGGGATCGGACGGCGCTCTCCCAGTAGCTTCGGGGGTCTGCATATTGCTGAGGTGTGTTTGCGCCGACTTAAAAAGAGCCGATGCATCTTCTTGTGGTCTCCTGTGGCTAGCGAGTGGACTTGGTCCGCGGGATGGGACCTGCTGCTGGGCTGGAAGGGAAGTCGACGAGTGCGAGGCCGACTGGGAGCTGTAGGTTGCTTGCGGATCGGGAGACGCTTGAAATGGTGGGAACGCCTCCCGGGGCTCTGAATCGGTGTCCATGGTTGGCGACGCCGTGTCATCGGGGTTCGCAATACGCAAGCCACCCAAGGCCTTGGAGAGGCTCAGGTCCCCGTTCATGGCGGCGATGGTGACGGGGTTTGTCCCCTGCTGGCGGCTTTGTTGGTGCGAATGGTTCGGCTCTCAGCAACGGTGAGGGCAAGCAAAAGGCAGATTCAGATTAGGGTTGTGCACGGTCGAGGTTTGGCAATCGCATTCGAAGAAGCACCCCTGTCCACAATTGTGCCCGCCGCAATATTAACAACCAAGGGCGGAAGCAGCCAGGGTAGCCAATCCAGCATTTGATCCCATCTGGCGGAACCCGTCAATGCGTCGAAAAACCAAATCGATACCGTTTGGTTTCGCCAGACGTCTTCGTATCGCGGGAATTGAGGTTGTCCCGTTGGTAAGGTTCGTGGGCGGCAACTAATTCGAGGAGGGCTGTGCAAAGAGCGGGCAGGTTTTTGTTGGCCAAGAAGGATGCAGGGTGACGACTGCAGACCGCACCACGCACTGCGGACGACGGTGGCAGGGCCGGTACACGAGCGCACGAAAAAAGAAAGAAAGAAAGCACAAAGGCATACGCCCAAAGGTCGAAGGAGGACGGCGGAATCAACGAGCACGAGAAGCTCATGAAACAGAAGATCGAATTGTGAGAACCGTGGCCGGGTATGTCATAAACTGGTTGCGGTGGCGTCGGCATTAGCAACGTCGCCTTGACGTATGAAGGGCGGGAAAAGAGGGATAGCAGGAAAGGCAAAGGGAGGTGTGCAGCTGGCGGTGGCTACCATCTCGACAACAGGTTCAAAAGTGCGGTCGAAAATGATGAAATTGAGGCCAGTGCAGAACATCGGAAGAAAAGGCCGTGAATGGGGTCCTACCAGTCTGTTTGGACGCCTGTCACCGGACCAGCCGCCAAGTGAGGTCGTTCGATCGATCGCGCTTGGGGTGTGCGGTGCCGGTTGAGCGTGGCCGGCCGGAAATGCGAGATGAAACGAAGACGCAGAGGCCAAACGGCGAGAAACAATGACGCTTGAAAATAGAAAAGGAGGTGGAAGCAGGACTGGAAGCGTCGCTGCTGGGAAACAGCCCAATTGACAAAATGGCCAGGCCGACTTGGATGAGGAAGGAACGAACAAAAGGCCTGCGGCGGAGACGGGCAATCGTAAAGAGACCACCAAGCGGGAAAGTACCCAGGTAAATTATCGGGGCTTACTGCCACATGGAGCAGTGTTGTAGCGTGATAGTGGTGCAGATGCGCCGCCTATGGCGCATCGGAAATCGCTAGCAGGGACGGACAGCAGCCAAAACTCGGCGCAATCCTTGCCTACCGAAAAGACACTTCGCGTTTGCTATTAGGGACTTAGAGTGGACTGGCCGTGCCTACCTTTGTGCTCCATATTCCTGTCGACGTCGACTGCGGTCCTTCTGTCTTGTGCAATTTGCGGTGTGGGCAGCTTCTCAGCACAGTCAGAATCGCGCGTCGACGATTTCAAGCAGTACGAGTGTTACGGGGCATTCTTTATTTTATTTTGGAGGTCGTCCCGAACAAGGCAGGCTACAACCTAGGGAAATTGGGCATTTCCAAGAGGTGAATCCCTGTTGCGAGCTGGTAGGTCCCGCTGCCCCTGCTCTACCAAACTGGCTTGGACAGGGTTCGCCCAGTCTACGCACGAACGACGAATGGAAGCAGCAGAGAAGTTGTGCCTTTAGCTTTGACAACATGTGCAGAGGCATCGCCAGAGCCAGGAGCCTCGCTCGAACCACCACGCGCAACACCACGTCATATGGCTTCGAGGCGCACATAGTGCCCTCTGCGGACCGCGCACAAGCTCATGCCGTTATCATTGTGCTTTCTTTTGCGCTGGTCACTCGTCAGGTAGTCTCTGCAGCGTCTCAGCTTCAGCTTTCCTGGCACAGTGGAGAAGAATGGGAAATTAGCTACTCCATCCACCACAGTTTCGATCTGGGAAGCTTGGCCTTCGTAATAATGTCGACGCCATGCTTCGGCACCAGCTCCGGAGATAGACTGCTTAGTATGACTATGTACGCAGGGTTGCAATATTTTCTAATTTTATCTCGGATTTGTCGTTCTGCAACATGCAACTTAAAATCGTGATAAAAGGCACAGTATGTATGTTGTATGTCATGCGCACAAATAGTTTAAATGCACTTATAGCAGTTAGCTACATCAGGCACGCGAGCAACGACCAACGTTGCACTTGCCCTGGGCGAGGCGGCGAGGCGGGCTATCGCCAGGACCTGAAGGCACAAACAAACAGCAAAGCTGTTCCTGCCTTTCATTCGAGCTAGCGCCGTGTATTCGCATTGGTGCTCGTGGGAGCGTCGAACAATAGGATCGCGGCCAGAAACGGCAAGAGCAAACCGCTTGCCATCCGCTCCTTCCCTGTGATGTCCTGTAATCTGTGTTCTTGCCTCAAACAATCATGGAAAGCCCCGGACGCGGGCCCAAAACAAGCCCAGTCAAGGCTGGCACAGACCACCACACACCACATCGCCATTGTCCCCCATACGTTTGAAGCCGCGCCATCATGATTCGTCTCAACCCCACTGCCCTCTCTGTCACAGTAGAGGATGTAAACAACCTTGTGGTGCGTCGAGGCTCGTCTTCCGACGACTCAGAAACCCAGACTACGAATCACATCGGCCAGCAGATTAGCAAACAAAGCGTCTTTGATAGCTCCGAAGAGCAGCCTCCGTACACCGCTGCACAGGCTTCGGCATCACCGACGGCGGCATCAACAAAGGACGGTCAGCCAGATGCATTGCCCTTGCAAGCACGTGCCGAACCGGAGATGGATGACAGTTACATGGAAGATGTGCCCCATCCGGTGCCGGCCTTGACAGAAACTCGCACTCGCGGTGGCAACAGCAGCAAGAACAGTCAGACTGCAGGTGATAGTGAGGCAGGCCACGCTGCAGAGCTAAGCGAAGACGTAAACATGGCGACACCTCACCAACATGGACAAGTATTGGCTCATCTCACCCCGAGCCAAAATGACGCTCCTGCTCAGGTAGGGCCATATGACGACAACGCCTCGCCTCGGTGGCTGTCTCTGCCACCCCGCAGGCCGCATCCAGCGTGGGCAGCTGCCGAGCGGGAAACCGCCACGAGCCCGCTTGCCAATCGAGTTCCTCGCTAGCGACAAGAGGAGCGCCAGCATACAACGGGAGCCGACGCAATTGCATCACAGGCAGACAGTGCAAACAACACACCAATTGAAGTGGACTAGCCACAGGTGGATCGGTATCCGGAAACGTCTGTGGCTACAGGTCCATTCTCCTCGCCCGTTGGAACGGCACGGAGACGATCGATCGTGACTCCTGAGCATCGGGTAAGCCATGAAGTGGGTGTTGGAAGCAGGACAAAGTAGTGGTACAAAACACTAACTGGACCGGTCGGTAGAGACCAGTTCGCACTCCTCGACGCTCGCAATCACATGGTGACGACTTGGAAGCAATAGACAGACGCGCTGCAAAAGAAAAGGAAAGAGGCCCTGAACACTTTGAGCAGCCTCCCCGTGCCCACAAGCAGCCCGATGTTTTCCCACCGACAGGGCGCGACCGAGAGCCCGCCGACTTTAAAATATTCGAAGAACCCTCGCGAGTGGTCCGAGTGAGCCGTCGTGAATTTGAGCAATTCTTCGGGCGTGTCAATGCCGGCAGCGATGACGACGTGCCAGATGTGCTGGAAGAGGTCGTCTAACTACAGCATTGGGGCGAGGGATGACGACGTGTTCTAAAATACTATTTGATCTGGAAGGTCGACATTGGCGTTGCGTCGTTGTGAGAATGTCTTTATGCACAATACAAACCAAAGGACATAATTTTATGCGATTTTGTGAGTCTTTTATGAGCAGTGGCCTTTCGTGCGTTGTGAATAATATCGTGCACAAAACATAAAGTTATGTCGTGCCTCTGTGCTAAATCGGCTGGGACTGGCAACTCGCACAGGGCAACCCATTCCAGACGCATCTCCATCCAGCCATGGGGTCCGGGCGTCCAAAGGTGCCTTCGCGGACACTCACCACTTTGCAAAAGGTCTTGAAAACAGAGCGACGCTAAACCGGATCGGAAGAGCACTCTGGACGAGCTACACTTGCGTGCGTCCGTCTTGCGTTGCCAGAGTGCCTCAATCGCTCCTTGAGCCTTGGCACCGCTTCGGAGAAGACGAGAGGTACAATCGAACCATCATGTTTGCCGCGGAACGTGTGCCAAAATGTGCCCATTTTGTTAGTCTACAAGTAGAAGAGCGTTGAAAAAAACTGGGTCTGGCCAGAGTGCCGGCACCCTTGATGAAATCACGCGAGGGAGCGCTCCTTGCCCTCTGCTGACGGTGGGCGGGGCCAATTGCCAGAGCAGCGCCCGTGGGGGATTGATTGCCGTCGCAGCAGGGGATAGCATAGCACAGTCTACAATACAGTGCGTTAATATATACGCACTCTCAGCACGGAGCAATAACCTTGCGGACCACAGTACTACCAGTGGAGAAGCCGCTCTCGTCTTCACTCTTACCCACCACCTCCTCTCCCTTCGACGGCTGGTCTGCCGCGAATCATCACCCTGCATCGTTCTCCGTTCCCGCAAGGCAAACAGACAACCAACCGCCCCAGAACAGAACAGGGCCACTCCATCAGTCCATCTCCCCAAATCCCTTCCGTCCCTGCTGGGCACGCCCCGTCTTTTCGGTCTTGTCCTGCTTGTCACCGACCTCGTTCTTCGTATACTTTGCCATCTCCCACTCCCAACACACCCACCAATGCATCTTCATCATGCGGCCAACATGTATTGTCTTGCAAAGGGCATTTTGACATTCCAAGTTGGTTTGACTGTGCTTTTATGATAATATCTCTGTTCCTTGGCCTCGGTCCATCCGTCACCCACATCCCTCTACCCTCCATCTACCCAGTCTGTTTCCCCAAGCTACGGCTTCACAAGCCGGAGTATTTTGTCTAGCAAAGTAGATATAAGTCAGCAGGACGCGGTTGGCCAGGCGCTCCTACCACAGTCCAAGACAAACGGACGAATAAGAGAGAAAACTTTGACAGTTGTATGGAGACTGAATAAAGAACAAATGAGGACAACAAGTGCCTCTACTGGAAGGCTGTTTGTTAGACGCAACGGCTGCACGGCTGGACAACACAGGACCAGTGGGCATTGGTACCCTTTTTCGGGCTTCGTGGTGTTCTGTCTTAAAAGCTTCGCAAACCTTAGTAACACAGGATCGTGTCGGTTAAGGGTTGTTGTGCGGTCGTGCCTTCCGAGTTTCCTCAAAAAGCAGTTGGAGATGGTAGCGCCAAAAGATTTTGGCTCAGATTCTGCTAGCGTAGTACATAAGAAACACTTGGTTCTCCCAGCCACACACATACTAAATACAAGTACTATGCCTGTCACCTCTTAATGGGACTGCTCATGTTTTTATCTTTGTCTCCTTCTCGCCTTCTCTCGTTTGAATCTTTATTTCCTTTCTTTTTTCTTTTATTCATCTCTACCGACCTTCCTTCGTCCACCTGCACGTCACCTCTTAGCCACTCTCTCTCCCACAGCCTCCCTTCTTATTTGCTTGTTTCCTTTCTCTTCTCACATGTACACCCCCCGTCTTTCCTTCATCGTCCATTTGCTCTCCCAGAGAACCAATTCTCACATATTGCCCACAGTTCCTTCCCACTCGGTCTCTTTCCCTCCCTCTTACATCTCCACGCTCGCTCTTTCCTTCTCGCTCTTGAATTCAAAACCTCCTCTCACATAAACTCTATAGCCTCCCCTTCTCCTTTCCCTCCACACCGTGTTGCTCTTTCCTATTTACTATTTGTAACAGCTATCCTTTTCAAATCTATACTTCCTCCCCTCTCGTGCCCACCTTCTCCCCCCTCTAATTCCTCCTCCTCTCCCATTCTCATCTTAACTGCCACCTTAAAACGTACTACCACTGCCAGACCACTACCGACTTTGCCTCCACCTATAAGTTGACAATACGTCCACGGCCGGCTTCAACTCCTCCGTCTCTTTAACTGACCGCTCGATAACTCTCCCGTGGACCAATTGGTGTCGCCTTTACATCCTTTTAGTGCCGTTTGTTTTCACTACTTACACTGCTCGCGTGCCTCACAGTTTTTTCGCTCTTTGTAGCCTCAATTCGCCGTCTCTGCTCTCCCTCGCACACCTTCGCCCTGCATTACTTACATTATTTACGTCCAGTTCCTTTTTGATTCTACACCTCTATCACTATTTGTATACTTTGTGCCGCTCTCGCTAGTTTCAAACCTCATATCAACCCTGCTGCCGCCCACTGTCTATTCAAAGTCAGCACGGCCAAGTCACCATGGCATCTTTCCACCGCACGTCGTCGCCAGTTCTCACAATGACGTCCCAAGCTGCGCACCAACTCCCCTTTGACCGCCCGTATGCAATGCAGCAATCCTCGCCCTTTGGCAACCCATCTGCATGGTCGCAAAATATTGGCCAACGCAAGCCAACGGCTCCACCTCGGGGCCGCAAGCGGTCGCGGGACGAGGCTGCCGTCAATCTCGATCCCCCCGAAAAAGCTCCCCCCGCCGTCGAGCCTGTCAAGGAAGACGAGGACGAGTGGGAGTACGGCCCCGGCATGGTCCTCATCAAGAAGGGCAGCGGTTATATCCACGACGCCAGCAACCAATCAGGTACTTGGCTCGAGGAGAAGGCTGCCGCGGTGGAAGCCACGAGGAAAGAGGAGGCTCTTGTTGAGCAGCAACGCCAAGCGCAAGACCGCCCGTCTCTCCGGAGCCATAAGTCATCACGCCTCGACCTCTCGGCCCACATCGAGTCTCCAGAGAGCGCACGCAGCAGCCGGTCCAGTCCCAAGCGCGACGTACGCGATCCCTCGCCCATGACCCCTGACGGCGGCTCCTCCGGCGGGGCATCTCAGCCCGTCATCGATGACTTTACCTTGCACCTCGGCATTGGCTGGAACCGCCTCAGCGACGACGAGCACATCCAGGCGGCCGCGCGCGGCTGGGCGCGCTACATCGAAAACCACTACCCTGTAACGGAACCCAAGATTCTGCTCGAGAGCAAGGGTCTCGAATCCTACCTCGTAGAGGCACGCGAAGGGTACTTTCTCTTTGCAGAGAACCTTCGTCAGGGTCGGCTTGTCAGCAGCAACGCGCAACACGCTCTCGACAATCTCAAGTCGTCCCCGCCTGTTTTTGACGGCACGCAAACGATGGGTGCCGCTGGCACTCCCCTTCCCGCGGAGGTTGCGACTGCATTAACAGCCGGGCCGGCCACCGCCACCACGGACGTCGAGATGGACATGATCTAAACGGACAGGGAACATTTTCACACCAATTGCTCGAATGGAAGGCGTTTGTTCTTACGGGATTGCATCTTTTACGTTTCCAAAACGGTGTTTCTCTGGCCGCGCAGGTGACGCGGCGACTTGTGGGCAGTGGCGGCGGCGCAACACTTGGGGTGGCTATCGACTTATTTATTTATCGGGGGCTCTTTTTACGATCGGCACTGGACAGACGAGCGAACAACAAAAAGAAAATGAACCGCGAAACAAAAACCGCACCGCGGCGAGAAGGTAAACAATAGCGGGATAGTTCTTTTCCATTTCCTTCATTGCATTTATCGAAGTTCACGTCAGGTGTCTAAAAGTTCCCGAGTCAATCAGGGACTCTGATTTGCTCCAATCAATGTCGCATTTTTGTCAATTTTGTCAATTTATTGCACACTGTATTTTTAGCTCAACCAACAAAACGCAAAACAAATTCATATGTTGTCAACGAATCCGTACCTTTGCAAAGACAATACCCAAACTATTGGTATACTTCTTTCGTGTCAGTGACATGCATGTCGACCAGTGCTGAATCAACTGATTAAGACGGTGCGGCACGGAGGGGAAGATCTGAGGCAGAAAAGCCCCCTGCATGGCCGTCTTCTCTCCGATGACCCCCTTTGTTCTCTGGTCTTACCGTCTTGCCTCTTCACCCACAACACGCTTGGATGACCCTCTGCTCCTCTTCGTCCGTGCTGGCCAATCAAGAGCTACAGATGCATGGCCAACCCACGCGGCACACCAGCGTCCAGAAGCAAACGAGAGCAAGCCAATCATGTCCCAGAGATGGCTAAAAAAAAGTAAGACCAGAGCGAGAAGGGTTGAAACCGATTCCTAGGCCGTCCTCGAGAAGTACTGCTCCGTAGGCAAGCGAGGCCAGGTAGGATCGCTGTCGAGGTGAACGACCTTGACAGGTTTTGTCTTCCGTCTTCCGCCGTGCAGGTCCAAAGCAAATATGTCGTAAAATATGCAAAAAGACTGCACCGTAAGTGGTGTGCTGCGCTCTCATGTACACAGCCTCACAACTTGTCCTGTTCTGCACGAGACAAGCCTCATTTCACCAGGCAGTTGCAGACCAGGAAGAGCCCGGAAGCAACGAGCATATTGGAGAAATGTCGACGGATGGGAACGCTGTGCTGGTTGAATAGAAGCCAACCTCGCGAGAGAGGACTCGAGATGAACGTCGTGCCTGCCGTTTAGCGCCCAGCTACTCTTTCCCATCAGTATCGGTGCACAACAGAACAACACCATCCAGTCACTCCTTCCCACACTGATCGCCATGAGCCTGTACTCTTGTCGGCTGCAATCCGAGTCGAAGTCTGGGCTCCTGCCGCTCCCCAACTTTATTATCCATACGTTTGGGTCTTTCCAAAGGTTGCTCTTTCCTATGGAGAACGGTAGGGGCGATGTTTGCTCTCGTCCCTCCCCTCTTTCTTAGTCTGGATGTGTCCCTGTCGCGCCATCCAATCGACAGCCGACATCCTGCCTCCTCTGTATCCTCATTCGCCTTCTGTGCTTCTCGTGCCAATTTATCCCTTCATTCTTCTTGGTCTCTCGTCTCCTATCCTGCCTTGCCAACCTGCCCCTGCCACTCGCCCATGTGAAAATCTCCTTGCCGTGATTCTTGTCAGTCACGTCTGCCTCTCTTCGCCACTCCATTTATTTGCCTTTGCCTTCTCAGCAGAAAACATTTTTCTTCTTTCTCCCTCATCTTCATGATTTTCAGGAAAGCCAGAATTTCACATATTCTGACCGCTGACAGCCGCTGGTGTTTTGCTTGCGCACACCCACCGCAGAAGTAGCCTGCGACAAGCAAGGCACACGGCCGCCTAACCGAGCCAGACGCATGCACGCAGGCACGCTGCAGCACCACCAGCATATCCCCCCAAAGGCGGCCTCCCCTCATTTTTTTGCAGCAAAACGGCCCCATGCATGTCGCCTTGCCACGGCCTTGCGACACGATAGCAGAGCTCGCTCCCCAAACCCATCCCAATTGCTTGTTTATCTTTTCGCGACCTGCAGGAGGCTGGTAGCGACACGAGTCACGAAGTCGTCGACCGGCTCTAAAATTTCTCGGGCTGCTCTTCGTCTCCTCTCACGCTTTCTCCAGTCGCCAGTAAACTCTCGCTGAGGTGCCTCCAACGGCTTTTCCCTCCCCCCCTCGATCACACGGCGTACCACACACTCGCCGCTGGCGTTCTCCGAACAAGGTGCATTTTATGACCAGGAGCTTCGACACCTTCGTTATCTCTTCCCAACGCTCCAAGGCACACGGCTCACTCTCTACGATCGCACTCCGCCCAGCGTCCTTTTCTTATTTTGCTTCCGCAGTCGTGGGGCGTCTCTCGTGCCTCACCCGCCCCCATGGTCTCCCAACCAGACCAGCACTTTTACAACAACTCTCTCGCCGTCCGGGGCACCTCTTCACTCGTCGGTGTCGGCGTTGGTAGCGGGCATAGCCATAGCCACAGCGGACCACCACCGCCAACTGCCGCCTCGGTGGCAGGCGGTGGCGGGCACACGTCCTCCACCCGCTCTCGCCGCTACAACCGCAGCCATATCGGCGGCTCGTCCTCATCCTCTCCCTACGCCCACCTCAACGAGTTCCCCATCTTCACCAATACCGGCGATGTCGAGATTGTCGTGCGCGTTCGCTCCGGCCATGAGAATCGATACTTACTACACCGCGATACCCTAGCCCGATGCTCTGGCTTCTTCGAGGCCAGCACCAGCAAGGAGTGGTCGCGAGCGCAAGTGGTCAGTCCGCGACAGGAGCTGCCAGACAACGGGGACTCGCGTGCGCTGACGAGTGGTGGCGAGGTGGCTCGAGTAAGGCCCGGTGGTAGTGGTAGCAGGAGTGGGAGCGAGAGCGGGAAAGATGGACAGACCGCTAGCACGCTGCCCGCCAGCGGCCAGCCTCGCCGGAGGTGGAGATACGAGTTGGACCTTGGAGAAGGCGAGCATGACAAGCCGATCCTTGTGCAGAAGGACGAAAGCAGCAGCAGCAGCAGCAGCAGCCGGACAGCAATGTCAGCGGTGGACGCTCCTCAGTCAATTTTTGGTGGGGGACCGTCGAATATCGACAACTCGTATTCATATCACAACACCGGAGGCAACAACGGGAGCAGGGCGGCACCCACTCATAGTAACGCCAGCTTTTTTCGATCTGTCGCCAACCTGGCCCTCTCACACTCGTCCTCTCGGCACAGCAACCACCGTGACAGCTATGGTGCATACAATACCTCCTCTCCCCTCCTCCCACCACCTACAGCCGACGAGGTCGGTCTTCTCCGTGACTACGACAACCTTTTCCGCATCATGTACAACTACCCGCCCGTACTGGACGGCGTCAACATCGCGGATGCCTATGTCCAGTGCAAATCCCTGCTTGCCGTCGCCGACGAGTATGACGCGCTTGCCTTTGTTGGGCCTCGTGTCGACCACCATCTCTTGCAGTTCCAAAGCCGCCTCTGGCGCCAGATTGCAAAGTACCCGATCAGCTACTTGCGTTTGGGATACATGGCTCGGTCACGCGTCATCTTCCAGGAGGCCCTTGTTCATGTTGTCGGCCAGTGGCCAGCAGGCGAGCGGAGCCTGCGTGCTGCCCTGCCAGATTCCGTGCTCGATCTGATCGAGGACAAGGTTGACGAACTTGCAGAAGCCGTGTCCCGTGTTGAGGCTCGCCTTTTCCGTCTGCATCTCACCACGCGCGGCGGTGAGCGCGTGGCTCCTTCGACTGCATACGTGGACTGGCTCGCTGTGTCCTTGTTTCGGCAATGGCTTGCAGACAACACAACACCTCCGATGGATGGCGGCAGTGATCCCAAGGTCGTGATACCAGAACGGCGCGGCGCAGGCGCCACGGGCGATCGCTATGGCCATCCACGTAGTGGACCACATCGGGGGGGACACCCTCGACATGATGGCGGCCGCGCTTCATCGTCCTCGTCCTCGTCTTCAGGATCGGGCCGGCATCACCAGGAAACAGCCCTGACTCTTCATGTGCGCAATGCGCTCGTCCCAGCGCTCTCCCCGCCCTTGTCCACCCTCGGCCGTACCTATCGCATTCTCGGTTTGGCTCCGAGCCCATCCTATCTCGGCCACGAAGACTGCAAGCGGTTTCTGAAACTGTCGCCCGACCTCTACACACGCGACAATCTCCGCCGCTTCGAGAAACGCATTGACGAGCTGAAAGTCCTGGCTCGCGAAATTGTGCGGCCTCTCATGGGCAGCGGGCTAGAGCTGGACGTCGCCGGCGGCAAGTCCGGCAGCGGCACTGGTAGCAGCAACGGGACTCACGACGGCATCTCCTACTTCACATGCACATATTTGTCCGATCGTGACCTACCCTGGTTGGTAGACATGTGAGGCGTCTCGTGAAGACCGTTTCGCAAATTTTTCCCCGCCCAGGGCGTGTGATGTGACATGATACTTGACGTCGAAACAATATACGCGCGTAATGACTTATGGGGTTGCTCTCTTGACACCGCTGATGACATCTGGTTGGATTTATGTTTATATTTACTATTTGTTTTTGATATTATTCAGTCATTTTTCGTGAACGAGATTCCCTGTTTTGAATGCTGGATGCTCTGGCACCGCTTTAGCTGTTGTTTGTTCTCTCCTTTTGTTCTCTCCTTTTGTTCTCCTTTGGCCCATTATATAACAGCACCATGATTTGATTCTAGGATACCCGCCAACTCATGTAGAGATGTGTTATTATTCATCCATATAATTTGCAGACTATTTTATTTCAGTCCCCCGTTGGCATTGAAACAAAAAATAAGAATTCAAAAGAAACATGGTTAAATTTGAGACGAACATTTCTAGAAAATGAAAAATAAAATGGACGAATATCAAAATATCATGGATTGTATCGTTTACTGCGTCAAATAAAAAAGTGAAGCCAAAGAGTCATAATTCATTGCGTTAACCCAAACCATAAAAAAAATACACACTACTTCAACCCTTCCTCAGTCAGATCGACAATGGAAATCTCGCTCTGCCGCCAACGACGGCTTCGCACCGGAGACGGGCTCCGAGAATCCGCACTCATGTCGTCTGCAATTTCTTCTCGAAAGAACCCGGTGGCACTTGTCCGCGGAATATATTGCGTTCGCTTTGTGTTAGACTTCACCAGTACACGTTCAGCGCCTAGTGACACTTGTTCTGCAACTTGTGCGGCCTGTCCATACCGTTTCATAAAGACGGCCGGTAAAGGGGATGACGAAAGGAAAGGATCCTCGTTATTTACTGTAGTAGCTGGTTTCTTGACCAAAGTGCTAGTTCCTTCATCATCATCAGAAAGCAGAATTGCTGCCGATGGCTTGGCTGGGGACTTGGCTGGGGATGGCTTGCTCGGCGAAAGGAAATCACGAATCGAAGCCTGCTTCTGAGGACTAGCCTGGGACGGCAGCTTGGGGTTGGTTTTCGATCTTGGTTTCACCTTTCCCGTGACCGAAGCACCTGTATCTTGAGTCTGTGACGCTGCAGCCTTCTTCAGTGGGGATGGCGACCACGCGAGGGATGAAAAGCTCGCAGCAGGTGGAGGGGATGACGGTATCGGGGATGTTGGGATTTGTATGGGCTCATATGCCGCTGTCGTAAAGGGGCTGCTCGTCATCAGATTAATCACCTCCGTGGACTTTGTTACCGTTGGCGGTGAGGTAGGCTTGATGAATTCTCGCTTCTGATTGCTTGTGTTGTTTTTCGTGACCCGCGGCACGTTTTGCGAACCGGACAAGGCCCAAGGGTTGTTTCCTTTTTTCTGATACTGAGACCTCGCTATCTTGGCAGTCGACGAGGTTTTGTTGATATTCTTTCTTGGGATTTCTGGGAGGTCATAATCCTCGACACCTGGTTGGGTGTCCAGGTCAGGAACATCATCTTCGCTGAAGTCAAGACTCTGTAACACTTCGGTATTGGCCTTGAATGTAGGTGGTACCTTTGGGGGTGCTTTTTCTGTACTCGAGACTTGACTGCCAGTGAGCATGTAGTCTCTAGTGTTTTTTGTGACTCGTACAAAGCGGTCAAGGGCACCAGCCGGCATATTGGATTTCTTGCTCTTCGGCTTGCGTGTTGTAGGCTTTGTTCCTTCGGTGGCACTTTTCTTGCCACGTTGTTGCTTCTTTTCCCATTCGGCGAGTGTTGCTGGAGCTCCTATATGAACGATCGTACGAGGGACCCACGTTACACAAGGCACTGTCGGGTCGTACGGGGTACCTGTGGTGGGTTTCTTGACACTGGCTACCGTCAGAGAGCCTGCTGTATCTCCGGGCATAGTTGGTGCTAGAGCCGTGGGTGGAAGGTCGTCGAAATCGTCGTCGCTGTTGAGTGCCAGGCCATCACGTCCATAGTTGACCTCAAGGTCGTCGAGCTCGCTGTCTAAATCAAGTCCGACAACGTTGACAGGGATATAGGATACTCGTATCTCGGGGGTGTTATCTGTGCTTGCGTGTATCCGTTGTCTCGAGATGCCCTCCACAAGGGACGGCAGCCATATATCGTTGTCCAGATCTTCGCTCATCTCTTCTCCTCCGTTGGCTGATGGCCACTTAAGAAGTAACATTCGTGCCAATAAGACTGGGGCAAGAACACGTATAAACTTAATGGCACCACCCCGGTTTGACCAGTCGAAAGTCTCTGCCACAAAGTCCCGCAGAGCAAGAACATCGATAGGCTTAGGCTTGATCGAGTCTGTGCCTTGCACCGCCACCGAGCTCGGAGCTGTTTTAATGGTTGAATCTAGATCCAGCCGCACGCGTTCCACTACGTCAGCCGGAGAGACGACGGGGTGAGTGTAATACCGTAGAATATCGAGATTTGGAAAGTCTGCTGGGATAACAAGCTTGTGGTGACATGTGCGAAAGAACTTGCTCTCGTTGGTGCGAAGCTCGTGCTGCAGATCAGAGCGCCACTCTGCCAGCGATGCAGCGTCTGACCGTTTTATACGGCACAGCCTCCGTCCGTAGCCTGCCTTGGCCGCTTCGCAAGCCAGCTTAACGCCACAGCCTGGGACACCCTCAGGGAGATAGTCGCCGCCGCTCATAAGAGCAACGAGTATCATACCCTCCCGATCGAGGCCAGTCTCCTTCGTCTTCAAGATCGCCTCTGGGGCTATGGATGTCGCTACAGCCGCCTCGGTTTCGTACATTGTGACATGTGTCGCCGTAGCTGAGGCACTGCCCTTTCCAGACGAGTTCGTAGTAGCAGCAGACCAGTTACGAAGCGTACGTGTACTCCCAAACATGAGGGTATCGACGTCTTCACTGAGTACAGCATCCACTACGCCTCGTTGCTGTAACAAGGCACATTCGGCTTCGGCCTCACCGGGTGCATCGTGGACATAGAAGCCGAACATGCGGATCATGCGCTTCGCCATAGACGAGGCTACCATATCGCCCGGGCCAGTCGAGCGCTTGTGGCGCTTGAAGAGCGGCTTGTTGATGCCATCGAAAACAAAGACGGGCTGGACGGGCATGCCCAGAAGGCGTATGAGACGGTAGAAAAGTGTGCGAACAGCAGGATTTGAACCACCTAGATATTGTAAGTACAAAAGTAGAATAAATACTAAGGAAATATCGAAGGGCCTGGGGTCTTTTTTTTTTTTTTTTTTTTAAAAAACAAAAGCTCCAACGCACCTCTCCCAGACTGGACTTGGAACTGCCAAATGGAGATGTCAATAGCTAGGCGTAGCGGCCGCCCGCGCTTCTCGAGACTGTCCACAGCCAGGCGCAAGAAGGAAACACGGGCGCCAGCTCCAATCTCTTTGTAGAGTCCTTTGATACCCATTGTTGTGAAAGGGTACGTTGTTTGACGGCGTGAAGGACCAAAAAGAGCTGCGGCAGGGCTTCAAAATCGGACAGGAACAATTAGACGATATCAATAATAAATTGTGTATCCATTTTCGTGATGAATTAAGGCACGGCGAAAGAATGAATACCTCGAACACGACCGTGTCGTTGTCACGATGATGATGACGAAAAGCGATGCTGAATGAGCGACGCCAGCTGACGCCGTCAAAGTTGCCTCTTTGTTGACGCCGTTACTGCTTTGGGACGCATTGTGGCGTTCCTATGGCGATGGGGCTGAGCGCCACAGAGAAGAGACCACTAAAAAGAATGGCGCGCGATTCCTTACAACGGTCTTTAAGCTCGCTTCAGGGGCACTCGGGCGCACTTTCCCCCCATTTACCAATGCGTTCCAGGGGGCGTTTTCCACAACGTTCTTTCTGCCAAAGGCGGTAAACACTCTCAGAGGCTCCTCCAACATCCACGACAACACAACTTCACGGTACGCAATTGCGCACAAGCGGGACATGCGGCCCTCAGGTTTGGTATTTGGCAAACATTGTTCTTGGCCTACTTTCTGAAATACAAAGTACAGCTCGATCTGCCACCAGCCTCCATATTGAGCCAAGGGCCATGGCGTCCAACGCCAGCCCTTCTCTACCGCATCGGACAGTTTCGACGATCCGGACGAGCGTCAGTGCGGGAACCGGCGTTGGGAGTGCCGGGGCCGCTGCGTCCAGCTATAGGACGGGTGGCCAAGCTGCGCCGACGACGCCGGGCGGGGGACCGCACACCCCTGTGCGTACGACGCCGTCGGCCTTCTCGTCTCCCTCTGCATTGCGCGCCGAGGAAGAGACCATTGTGATCGAGGTGGGTGCGCGGTATCTGCGCATCGGACTGGCGGGCGATGTGGTCTGCCGAGGCACGGTGGCATTTGGGCCCGACCAGCAGCGCCGCGTGGGTGATTTGCGGGTGTGGCAGGAGGACTACCAGTACGACTGGCGGCGAGCCGGCGAGGATGGTGCAGGACGTACGTGGGACACGGCGTATGAGCTGTGGCAGATGGACGTGCGCAACATTGACGCAGGCTTGATTTCGGACAAGCTGGAGCGGGCATTGCGCGAAGCATTTACAAAGTTTGTCTCCCTCTCTTTGTCTCTGCCCCCTATTCCGTCTGGAAGCAATCACTTACTAACTGTGACAGATATCTACTAATTGATTCGCGTCCAAGGCGAATGGTGGCTGTACTTCCACCTTCGATCCCTCACCCATTATTGTCTACAACATTGGACACAATCTTTGGCCGTTTCCAGAGCCCGAGTGTGTCGTTGTTGTCGGCACCTGTGGCGGCAGCCGTGGCCGCTGGTCTGCGCAGCGCTCTCGTGGTTGACCTTGGCTGGGCCGAGACCGTGGTGACGAGTGTGTACGAGTATCGCGAGGTGTCGTCGACTAGGTCGGTGCGCGCGGGCCGCCTGTTGATCCAAAGTGTGCATGACCTGCTCGCCGGTGTCATCGCGCCGGAATATCAGGAAAAAGATGCAAAGGGTAGGCCGGTGGCTGCGACGCCAAGTGCGCGTGCAAACCGAGAGCACGTGCTTAGCTTTGATGAGTGCGAAGATGTGGCTGCGCGCCTTGTGTGGTGCCGACAAACGGAGAACGGCCCGAGCAAAAACAATGCTCGGCCGGCCGCGGCTGCACTGCCTACAGAAGGCGTTCTGGCGACCGTCGCCGAGACGGACGAAACGGAAGAGGACGGCCATTCGACGCGGCCTGGCACTGGATCGTCGGGTGCCAATGGCGCCCGTACGACGAGTGTTCCTCTTCGGTCGTGCTCACCACCCAAGACGCTCAGCCTGTCATTTGACCAGCTCGCCGAGCCCTGCGAGACGACGTTTTTTGGGGGCATGGGCGAAGGCCTCGACATACCGGCCAGCTGGGACGACGAGGAGCTCCCGATACCGCTCCTCATCTTCCGCCATCTACAACACCTGTCCGTTGATGTGCGTGCGGTCTGCATGGCCCGCATCATCTTCGTGGGCGGCTGCACTGGCGTTTTGGGTCTGCGCGGCCGCATCTTTGACGAAGTCGCTCGCTTGATTGACGAGCAGGGGTGGGAGGGTGTGCGTGGCAAGGGCTTTGCGCAGTACAAGGCGAGCGCAAAGCTACAGAAAAAGAAAAAGGGCACTCCTAACAGCAGAAAGTCGGGCCGAGACGGCGCCAGCGATGTCAACGCCAACGCCAATGCCGACGGAAACGGTAGCCATCCGATATCGCCGACGTCGTCGGCGGACTCAGCTGAATCTGCAGATGGCGTTTGGCACGATGCTGCCAATGCGCGGCCCGAGATCGACCCGGTCGAGGAGGAGCTGCGCAAGACACGCATGCGCAGCGACAGCACCGCACCGGCTGTGTCGGGTGGCCAGCCGCAGCAGCAGGGCCACATCAACGGCCAAATGCGGGCGGCAGAGACGCTGGGTGCCTGGAGCGGTGCCAGCCTGCTAGCACAGCTGCGTGTTCCTGCTCTGGCCGTTGTCGACAAGGAGCAGTGGACACAACAGGGCGGCGTCTTGAGCGCGGTACGTCCTAGTGATGTCGACGCCAAGCAACAGATGCAGCGGCAGAGCATGGGCCATGGCGGCCTCCTACGCAGCGTGGTGGGCGGTGGTTTAGGAGGAGCATCTGGGTCTGGAACTGCGAGCTGGACGCTCGGATCTTGGGGTGTTGTTTGAGTGTGAGAGGCGTGGAAGTACAAGCCTTTAGCCTTATTAAGAGTGTTTATATACCCGAGAACTACTACGATTTTGCATGTCCATGCGGTAACTCTTCACATGTTTTATTCTGTTCATTTCTTTGCTTGTTCTCCAATTGCTGAGAACGGTGTGATAGTGCCAAACAGCGGGAAGTAGTATACAATACTCGCGAGTAGTAGAATGATTGGGGCAGGAAAGAGAAAAGGAGGAAAAACTGAACGCCAGCCCCGATGCAAGAAATGATCCACCCGATTTTCGTCCCAAATAAAATTAGACAATGCCCTCCCATTTTGTGTGCGCTATCCGACTCCCGAGATGCGCCTCGCCAGCCCCTCTTAATAGTCGCGCAGTGTGCCGACAAGGCTGTCCAGCCGCATCACCTGGCCCATCAGCTTCTGCTCGATCTCGCAGTACGACTGGTACTTGTCAAAGTACTTCTTCTCGAGCGCCTCCTTCTCGCGCCCCTTGACGTCCGGACGCTGCACAAACGTCAGAACCTCCTTGTTCTCCTGGCGGTGCACGTCGCGGATGCGCAGGCAGCGCACCATGGACTTGTAGGCGTTGTCGAGAAGCGTGTCGAGCGACCGCGGCGTGTCGCAGAACCACAGGAAGAGCGTTCGGCTGGCGGACCGGTTGTTGTCGCGTGGCACCTCCTGCATGTCGACAAAGCCGTGCATCTGCATTTCGAGCATTTTGTTCTGCACGTCGCTCTTCTTCATCAGCGCCAATGTTGGCAGCGTCTTCTCGTCGAGCTTGCCTTTGTCGCGCAGAATGCGGGCAAGACGGAGGCCCTGGCGGCCGACCTTGCGCTCAATCGCATTGTCGAGCTCTGACTCGCGCAACCGCTTGAGCAGCGGCTCAAAGTCGACGGTCCATGTGCCGCGGTCGCAGTGCCGCACAAACTTGTACTTGTTGTCGCACAGGAGGAGGAGGTGCTGGCGCATCTGCTGCAGGCGCAGTTCTTCCGAGGGTGGCGACGCGGCAGCAGCAGCAGCACTGTCGTCGAACTTGACACCTTTTGTGCTGAGTGCGGCTTTGGTGGTTGCAGAACCGTTCGGTGTGTGGCTGCCGTTCAGTGAAGGGGTAGAAGCTTGTTGTAGAGGAGCGGCTGGGGGCGGGTAGGTTTCGCCTTCAGAGTCGTAGTCCTCGTTATCCAGATCGACATCTTCCTCTTCGCCGCCCTCATCGCCGCCAAACACAACGGTGTCGACCTTTGCGTGGCGTTCTAAGCGTTCTGCTGTCGGGATGTCGATTTCGTCAGCCGAGGCCTTTCCGATACCAGTAAAAACGTCGAGGTTTGGGCTGAGGTTGTCAAAGATATCTGACGTGTTGACTGCGCGCGGGCGGAAGAAGTCGCCGCCAGCAATGTCGACAAGCGGATCGGCGCGGCAGCGGGGGATCGTTTCGGTCAGCAAGCGCAGTAGAGCATCGTAGACCTGAGCAGTGGTCTCTCCAATGGCAGCGGCAGCGGCCTGCACAAGGCGGCGGTTCCGTAGCTCTACAGCACACTTTTCGTGGTTGACGCGCAGGACAATCTTGGGCTGTGATAAGAAAAGAAGAAAAAAACAACAACGGTTAGCGACAGGCGGCAACACATATAGAATACGAATGGGGTGCTCTGGTAACAACGTACGTCCAATGGCGGGTCTCTGTCGTCGCTGTAGAAGCCATTGCTCTTGTCGCCGTTGAGCAGCTTCCTACGTTTCTGGGGGCCGCCGTGCGCCTGGAGCGTGCGCTTGAGTTTGCGAGGCTCATCGCGCAGGTTGTATAGCTCTTCGGACACGCGAGTCTCGTACTCCTCCTTCTTCTTCAGACCTCGCATGCCGTCGGGGAAATATTTCTTCTTAATCATCTCGCGGGTTTCGGCTTGGCGGTCGGGAAAGCTCTTGAAAGACGCCGTCGTTACTACCTCGAGCAATTCGGCATGGATTAGCCGGCAGAGAACAGAGTTGAGGTGCTCGAGCGAGCGGATCTCCGGACCTCGAGCCCGGCTCTCGTCTTCGGGGTGGTGGGGGATGTCGCCGTTTGTGTATCCGTCTCCGTGGTGGCCGTTCGTGTGGCTGCTGCTTGCACCATTTACACCATTTGCACCATTTGCGCCATTCTTGGACGCATCTGCTTTACCGATCTTGGCTTTGTAGGCCTCTTTAAGGTCGGCGATGCGGGTATGGCCCAGGGCAAACAGGCTTTGCATCACATCGCGAGCGTCGGTGCCGTAGTGCGTCTCAACCATCTCGAGCACCTTGCCCGACCGCAACAGATTGTAGGCGGCAGAGGGGTTGGCATCGTAGACGGTTGTGCGGTCTATCCCGGTGACATAGAAGAAGAGGAGATCGTATTGTAGGAGAACGGCGAGGCCGTGACGGAGTTGCTTCGGAGTGAGTGATGTGTACTGCGCGAGCTGTGCCAGGCCGGCTCTGCCTCTGTTCAGCAGCGCCGCGAAGATGCGCTGGGGAGCGTTAGTCGAGCTTTGCTACCATGACCATACAAAGACTTGAGCCAAGACAAACAAAAGATGCATACCGATGGCAGCTCCCCGTAGATATCATCGATGACCAGGGTGCAGAGCTCTGCTAGATTCTTCGTCTGTAGAAGGTGCATGGTCAGCAAGCGGTCGTCTCGCAGTCGGTGGCTTCAGACAGTGCCTGGGTGCATTAAATGCCCATGTGCATTGATCTTGCATTAATCTTCAGCCAGCAGCGAGCAGACGGCTGTCGCATCGCATCGCGAGATCAAAACACTGAGGCCACAGATTTGCGGGGAGTGACTCACCACCAACAACATAGCGAAAAGGGCGTTCAGGGTCGAATCGGGTCTGCCAGGAGGACTTGGCGTCTAGAGATCCTCTCACTATCTCTAGAGCTGCCACATTTGCTACCGTAGAAACATTGAGAGGTGATGGTGGACAAGAAGCAGACCAAAAAACGATATTCGGAAGGCTCTATGTCGAACTTTTTTTTGGCGTGGAAATGGAGTTAGCTGCATTTGGGCCCTCTAATTGGGCGTGCTAGAGTGGACACTGACGTTTTAGTGGATAATCCCGTGGTTTTTCTCCCTGCATTTGCTCTACTGTGCCGACCTTAGGGGAAGGCGGCGCCTGCTGCATCTGCTGCAAGTAATCGTCAGTGCTTATTGCAGTTGCTGCACTGAATGCAGGCGGCTGGGTGGGCGACGAGTAGTTAGCGGGGTTGGCCACGGACGGCGACAAGGGAGTAGCAAAGGGAGCCACCTGCCTTGTTTGTCATTTTAGGGCGGGTTGCATCCTCAGTACTGACGCCTGGTGTTCGCTGTTTTGCAGCTGGCAGAGCATCCCCGCTAGACCGGCCACCAGCTGGCACAGCTCCAGTTTTTCCTGTATTTCCTCGTCGCAGGCCGAAAATTGCTCGGAACCGTCGTTAGGCCGTTGCTTCCCTCACGCGAAATGAAATAAGCCGCTGGCAATTGGACGTCCGCCCGGGTGAGAAAAAAATAGCACCAGCTGCCCGTCTTTGCCTGCAAGCCGCCCCATTGCCTCATTTGCACCTTTTTTGCAACCTCGTCGCATCAACACCCAACAACCACCCGTCAATTGAGGTTCCCCACCACCTCGCCGACTCGAATTTCGCCCCTGTTTCCTCGTCGCCCATCCCGCCCATTCTCCTCACAATGATCTCGAGATCCGCCGTCTCAAGGGCAGGCCAGCTTGCCCTCCGGCGGCAGTCGTGCGCCCAGGCGCAGAGCCGCGGCTTCGCCGCTGCTGCTTCGTCGTCTGGCGCCTTCGAGCCGACCGAGGTGTCCGGCGTCTCCGTCGTGTCCAAGGATGCCCAGGGCCCGTCCACGAAGCTCGCCATCGTCGCCAAGGCCGGTACCCGTTACCAGCCCGCCCCCGGTCTGACCGCGGGTCTTGAGGGATTTGCTTTCAAGGTGAGCCCGACCACCGCAGAAGGCATCGGAGGACCTAGAGGAGGATTGTTCATGCACAACGATGCATGAGCGAGCTCCGTTGAGGATCGAGAACCGGCTGGAGGATCGTCGGGGGACACAATTTGGGCTCGCGTTGAGAGATTTCGACGTACTGACATGTCGCCTATCTAGAACACCCTGAAGCGCTCCGCCCTCCGCATCACCCGCGAGACCGAGCTCCTCGGCGGCGAATTGACCTCTTACCACACCCGTGAGGCCGTTGTCCTCGAGGCCAACTTCCTCCGCGAGCACCTGCCGTACTTCACCGAGCTTCTGGCCGAGGTTGTTGCCGAGACCAAGTTCACTGGTAAGCGCCGTCCTGATGTGTTTTGGCGGGGATGGAAAAAGGAAGAGAAGGAGAAAGGGGACGAGAAGACGTGGAGCAAACCAGAGCAAAGGGGGGCATAAGAGAAAGAGAATGGTAGATGGGACGGTTTCTCGTCCCCGTGTGGCGCGACTGCATATATATTCAAACGTGTATCGTCACGCGCACCAGACTAACCTGTCTCGCAAAATTAATAGAGCACGAACTGGCGGAGGAGATTGAGCCCGTCCTGCACCTGAAGCAGGCCAAGTACTCGGCCGACAGCCTAGCCGCCGCCCTGGACGCCGCCCATGCCGTTGCCTTCCACACCGGCCTGGGTGAGGCCCTGAGCCCTTCGACGACTACGCCGCTCAGCAGCTACCTCAGCCACACCGGTGTTTCCCAGTTCGCCAGCTCCGCCTACTCCCGCTCCAACTTCGCCCTGGTCGCCGACGGCGCCACCCAGGTTGCCCTGAGCAAGTGGGTTGATCAGTTCTTCAAGAAGTCCACCGGCTCCGGTAGCGCACTCACCAGCGCCCCTTCGAAGTACTACGGCGGCCAGCAGCGCATCGAGTCTGCCTCAGGCAACGCTATCGTTATTGCCTTCCCGACCAATGGCCTGAACGCCCCCGACGCCACCGTCGAGGTCCTGACGTCCCTGCTCGGCGGCGAGTCCAGCGTCAAATGGTCCCCCGGCTTCACCCTGTTGTCCAAGGCCTCTGCCGGCGCCCACGGCGCCAACGCTGTGGCCCGTAACCTTTCGTACTCGGATGCTGGCTTGCTGACCATCCAGGTCACTGGCCAGTCTGCCGGTGCTGTGCGGGCGGCCGCCGATGCGGCCGTCAAGACCCTCAAGAGCGTCGCTTCTGGCTCGGTCTCCAAAGAAGATGTTGCCAAGGCTATTGCCAAGGCTCGTTTCGATGCCCTGACCGCCCAGGAGCCCGCCAGCGCTGCCATCACGGCCGCCGGTACGGCCGTCCTTCACGGCCTGAAGACCTTCCAGCCAGCCGATGCCAGCAAGGCCTACGCCGGCGTCACGGCTGAGAAGCTGACGACAGTACGTTCTCTACCTCGCCCATTTCTTTATTTTTGATCCCCCACATAAAAGCCATTTACCGTACTGACTTCTTTCTCTCTCCCTAGCTGGCTAAGAAGCTTGTTAACGGCAAGGCGTCCTTTGCCGCTGTCGGTGACCTGCATGTCCTCCCCTTCGCGGAGGATGTCGGCCTGACAGTGTAAGAAGGGTGACTTGTTGTGTCTATGCGCGTGTTTTGCTTTTACCGTTTCTGCTGCGTAGGTCGGTTGGATCCTTTTCTTTTCCTTCTTAATTTTGGTTTTAGGTTCAGGTTGTCGATTCATCAGACGGGAAGCGATGGCCGGAAAAGAGAAGAGCGCAAGAAGTGAGAAAGATAGGGATGGGCCCAGAAATACGGAAAGAAACAGAGACAAAAAACGAGAGAAGAAAACCCCCTTCTTGTATCAACATTCGTCCAAAACCAACAACTGCGCAACTGGACAACAAAAAGACGTGAGTTGTCGTTCGGCGTGGTCAGTCCGCCTTCTTTGTCGGATATTGTGCATATAAAGAAAGAAAGAAGCCTCTATTTAAGTTTTTAAGGAGCGAAATTGGTGACTAGCGAATCTGAAAGGTTTTGAGCATGTTGAAGATAAATTCACGCAAAAGAGGTGGGAAAATGCCACCCCTTATTGTCGATGAGTTGGCCCATTTTACAACTGAAGTTGGGGATTTTTCGCCGTACAGAATATGTTCGTTGTAGACAGCGACGGGTTGTCCACTGTTTGTTTGGGGTGTGGTGGAGAATCACGTGATGTCCCGGCTGAAGGCGGCCGGAATATGTCGCGCAGCCGAGCTATTTTGCTGGTCTCTTGAGATTTTCCCCTTGAAGTTCGAAAACGGTTTTATTGCCGACCGCACCTGTCCGCACCTGTGCGCTACATCCCACGATCACCACCACCCACCACAATCCGATTTGCCCTCCGAACAACACCCATCCTTTTCAAAATGACCTTTGCGTGGAAAGCCGCTGGCCTCTCGTGAGTCACCCAACGCGAGCGCAAGACTGCGGACGAAACCCGACAACAAAGCCGAGGCGACGGACGCGAATGTAGAGCTGACCAATTCTTTTCGCAGGTACAACCGCTACCTGGCAATTGCCGGTCGCGCCGTGCGCCGCAGCCTGAAGGAGGACAAGAGACTCGTTGCTGAGCGCCGCGGCCAGCTCGACCTCCGCTTCTCGAAGTGGCAGGTAAGGAACGGCCCCATCCGTCCGAATTGAAACACAGGAACGACAGGAAGACGGACAACTGACCCATTGTCGAACACAGGGTGGAAAGCAGGGCGAGCCTAAGAACGTGGCCGACGCCCAGGCCGCTGCCGCTACCGAGGCCGCGTCCGCATAAACGACGACACCCATGACCGGACGACGGATGAAAGAGACCCGACAGGATCCTGGACGAGCCGGAAGTGTGGATGCCGAGGAGAAATCTAAATGATAACCCCGACTCTGCCATCCGTTCCGTGCTCGAGGACGTGAGGATTAGAAAAAAGAATGGTCTCGTGTGACAATTGCAGTCTTGTGGATGCTTCGACGCAAACGCCCCCAAGCCAACTGTATGTACTTATTTTGTCGGGGACATAGCGACAAGGCGAAAATTTAAAGGCCCTTGTACGTCTTTAGAGCCATAAATAAAGAGAACCAAATTTTGAAATTCAATCTTGAATTCGCCAATTAGGTGGATGGAGCTCTTGAAGCCGTAGGTTGTTGGACGCACCTTCTTGTTGGATGCCAATAACATTTGCTGTGTGAAGCGCACAGTCGAGCCTTCCGCGTTGGTCCGCCACAGTGAAGGCTGCTAACGCCGACCAACAGGCAGGTTCCTAAGAATTTTTAGCGGTTAGTTGGCGTTCTGGTTGAAGCTCCAGCAGGTCTACCCAGGCCCAGATGCTTGTCTTCCCAAGACCCCTCCAACGGCCCTGGAGTTTGATACAACAAATTTCGTGATCGGATTTTGCATGAGAAGCTTTTACTCTTAAGTGTTGTGTTTTAAATATATGTTCGTCTGCTCTTGCCAAAATCTTATCTGTCTCGCCGTTCCTGGTTGTTTCTTATTTGGGAACCTGTCGCGGGTATAACGAAAGAGTGACGGAGCTTGTTGGCAGGCTCCTTCCCCAGAAGTTTTAAGTGCGTCTGCACCAATCTAGCTTCCTCACGAGTCACGCACTACAGCGCAACTTTTGAACCTTTGACATAACTGATACCCCTGGCGCAAAGCGAACGGCGCATCTCGGACCGGTTGCTTCTTGTTGTGTACTCTGCGTCGCGTACGGCCATTTCCCCGCCGCTGCCTCGTTGAGACTTGCGCCCACTCATCCACGGACCCACGAGAACCCCCACCATACGTCCAACCGCATGATATAAACGACGCCCAAACCTCCGCCTTCGCATAACTGCGGCCTCCGGTCCTTTAGATCGGTAAAGATGGCCAGCGACGCGGCCCGGGACGCCTTACGGCTACCCCGCGAAGAGGCTGTTGTCAACCAGGGTGAGTGAGCGCATGCCGTCGGCCTTGACGTGCTCTCATCCATAAAACCTTTCGTATCTAATATGCGTCGTAGGCCTCGAGGGGCTCTCGCTGACCCCAAACTCTGGGTCACCACCAAGATCGCCGCCTCCGCCGGCGTCTTCGTCGACAAGGATTACCAGCAACGGTGTTGTATCCATAGATATAACGTCTAGATTTACGGCTGCAGCTTCGAGTATGTCTCATGTCCCCTCGCAACCGCACACAATCTCTTGGATCTTGTATATTGACGTACCATGCAGCTCTTGAACCGGGAGACATTGTCAAGGATGGCTACTTTACGCTCTTCGAGTCCGTTGGTGCCTTGGAGGTGAGCATTGCTTCTAGCCCGGCTACATCTCGTTGTCCTTTCTTACAACTGTTTTTTCTAGATAATGGACCCGAAAATGGACAGCGGCTGCGTCTCAGCGGAAGAGTTGGTGGACAATGATCACCAGCAACTTATGCGCTCGCTGCTTCCGGCCGAAGTGGTTGGCATTATCGATCAGCTTTTATGTTTGGAGGTGCGTTTCTATTCCTACGTGTGCGCCGTTTGACTCGTAGTTGCCTGACAAAGCATATATCTAGATGGCATGGCACCTTGGATACCCGCTGTCACAAACGCTCCTGACAAGCATCTACATGACTGGTATTCTTAACCCCCCGCCACGAACCTTGAACGAAGCGGACTATATGCGGCGGCAGAGCGCTGAAGGGACCACACGGTCTCCAGCTCATGCCGTCCTTCGAGCATACTGCATCGCCGTGATAAAGACGGTGGGAGATATTATTACCAGCTTCAAAAGTGAAGTGTACTACGAGGTTAGTCATGTTTCAGCACTATTGTCTAGATGGCGTATTTTGCGAGAAAAAGAGGGGTTTTTTAACTTTGAACAGGAAGAGGACATTGCGACAAACACGTATCACTTGTCTCTGCTCGAAGACGTGGGCCGCGACGAAATCCGCCAGGTGCTCCAGGAAGCGCGCACGGCAATTGTCGAAGTCGGGGACGCTTGGGCGGACACCGTGTCTCTGGCCCTGGAGGCACGGCTTGACTTCCGCGAGACGTTTCTCACGGCCATTGAGCTGGCCGAACTGCGGATACGCCCCGATGCCTTGAAAGTACCGTGGACGCAAATGACGGACGCAGTCAAGAACATTAAAGAGTCCCACGATCTAGGGATTGCAGTGCCTGCGGCATTCAACACGAAGATGCAAGGCCTTTTGGCCAGCACTATGCCTCCACGGCCAATTGTGCAGCCCAGTTTTGAAGACGCTGTTGAGCAATGGTCTCGGTTCTCCACGGACGGTGCTGAGGCGATGGGCATCCTCGCGTACGAAGATCCCCAAAGTTTACTGGTATGATGTTGTCTTCCATGATGCCAAGAACGTGTAGTAGAAGGTTAACTGGTATCCCAGAATTTTGTCCTTACGTTCCAAGCCAAGAAGCCACAGCCGCTCGCGTACATACGGGTGCTAATGCAAAGTTTCATCTTTGCTGAAAACATCATGCTTGGCGAGCATAGCATACGACAGATTATGGACGACGACCTGTCGATCGTGGTGCTTCCAGCCAACATTCTTCTTGACCCGATCAATGACGAGATCGAGGTGGCCAGGGACCCGCGCTTTGCTCTTGCCAAACATATGGAAGAGTTCCGGATACGGTCGTTCCCCGCGTACCTGGAAATCTTTCGCACACTCTGCCAGAATCGAAGTCGTGCGCGGCGTATGATGTGCCACATTCTCCACGAGTGGGAGCGCGTGCAGATGGACGCGGAAGAGATTGACAACCTCGTGGAGTCAACCCTAAACGAGATCCCGGAGAATAGTCTCCTGGCCGGTACCGGGCCCGGCGACAAACCGCTGCCGCTTTCTTCGTGGGCCTTCCTCTACAAGATCCGGCTGATGGAGTGGGTCGTCCAGCTCGGCTTTGAGCTGGAAATCTACCAAGCAGACGAGCTAGCCGGCATGTACTGGTACCTCAGCTACCTCGCCAAGAGGCGAGTGATGCACTGTGAGCGCATCCGAGCCTTCACGCTGCGCAGCCATGGAGAGATGCGGCAGCGGGGTGGCGGCCGGGCGTTACCGGGCGATCAGGAGGCCGTGATGACGAAATCGCTGACATTTTTGCGGACGATGATGCTCGATGCGTCCGTGACGTGGGAGCTGGCCGATGCACTGTCCTGTCTATACGCCGCGCTGCACCGCACGGGGCTTCTCAAGACGCCTGTGCGGCCTTACAGCACGGACGAGTTGCGGTACGAGCTTCGTATGCGGCCCTTTGCGGCCATTGGTCTACCTGCGCTGCCGTCCTTTGAGACGTTTCAGAAGGAAGCGCAGCAAAGCACCTCGACTATCAAGGCCATTCTGGACTATGCCGAGAAAGCACTTGGCGGCGCCAAGAAGGGCTGCGAGGCGCTGACGCGCTTCACCGAGGCAGAAGCCTTTTCGGCCCATCACCACGAACGGTGGCTGTCAGGCACCAAGGGCATGCACAAATCGGCGATATTTGCGGGCCTCGCGGTTGCGTCTCTTAAGCGGGAGGTGGTTCGGGTCGAAATGGATGCCCGTAGCGTGGGCAACGGATTAGAAAGCGACGTAGGAGCGGCGGCGCTGAAGCTCACGGCGCAGGTCCCGAAACCTGACAAGTGCTACCATGAGTGGTGGATCGTCCCAAAGGTGGCATCAGCCACGTCGTCGTGATGACGGCTCGGTGTTGCGCGTTGTTGTGCGATAGTCGCATCAGTTCGGTGGCTGGAGGTGACATGGATTTTCAAAACTAGAATTAGAGCAGTGATTGCGTCACGTCGCATGACATAGTAGAAATGGTTATAAAGTATCGTATACACAAGCCTCCTCTCTGTGATTTATTTGCATTTTTATATTTACAGTCGTTTTGGTTGGTATTTGACACCGGTACTCAAGAGTACTTCATAGAACAATCTAGATCATGCACAGAGACAGAAAGGAAACATAGAAAATAGTGCGTGCAGGGCAAGACGCGCATGCCAGACTAGGAGATGTTCCAGCAGCCTCTGGGTGGGAACTGCCGGAGGTTGGCGTGTAAAGTAAGGAGCAAAACAGACGAACGCCATGGTATATATAACAAAGTGGATGTTGACACGATAGCTTCTCGAGTGAGGCTATCAATGGGTTGCCGGATGGTGTGTTTAAGCCCGGATCGCCTTGGTCTTCGACCGCAGCAGCACGGTCTGGTTGTAGAGGACGTCCTTGAGGGCGAAGAGGAACGCGGCGGTCAGCACGCTCTGCGTGATCTTGGGGCCAATGCCTGTTGCATGTTAGTAAGTGGATGCGAGACACACAGAAACATAGTTTCAAACGAAAAGCGACGGAAACGACAATGCATGGCGAGCAAAACATACCCTTGTAGAGACCGGCGTAGCCCTCCTCCTTAATGACACGACGCAGCGACGCCGTCACACCGCCCTCCTGGCGCTCCTTGGCAACGTGCATGCGGCTCTTGACGGTGATGTAGGGGTAGGTGATGCTCGTCGCAAAGAGCTTGCCCAGGGCGCCCAGCACAAAGGCAACGCCGGGCGTCACCGGCCGCCGCTTCTGGACAGCGTTCTTGAGCTGCTCAAACAGCGTGTACTGCAGGATGGGGTTGATGACAAGCACCAGCGCGGGCACGACGCCGGCAAACAGGGCGCGGGGGCCCTCTTCGCGAAGCAGCGCAAGCAGGGTGCCGATCGTGGACGGCTTCTTCGCGGCCTTTGCCTGCTTGGACGCGCTTCCGGCCTCCACGTCCGCCTCCACAGCCCGCTGGCGCGTCGTCATGCGCGTGTTGACCACCCAGATGGGGTTGGTCAGGATGACGGTCGCGGAGCCGGCCAGGGCGCCGGCCAGCATGGACTCGAGCGTGGTCAGCTGGCCCGCAACACGGCCAGCAACACCGGCCGCGCGGCGCTCAAACACGGCGCGGGTCCACTCGTACCAGTAGTAGTAGACAAAGTTGGTGATGCCGATGCCGAAGACGGCCGAGTCGAGGCCGGCGTACAGGCCGGCGACGCCCTCGCGGGCCACGATGCCCTCAACAGCCTTGAGGAACGACGAGTCGGCGCGGCGCGACTCGACCTGCGCACGCGTCGAGAGGGTGATGAGCGGGTAGGTCAGGACAGTGGCCAGGATGCCACCTCCAGCACCAGCGATGGCGTGGGCGACATTGTCGTTGGCCGGAACGGTAGCGGCGACAGCCGAAGACGAGGTTGCGGTGGTCTCAGCCACGGGCTTGGAAGCAGCGGGAGCCATGGCGACGAATAGAGAGCAAGGGGGAGGATGATTCTGTGGCGGTGACAATGTGGTGATATTGTGGCGATGACTTTGGTGCTGCGATGCGGAGAGAGCGCGTTGGTAGGCTGGATCGAGAGGCGAAAAACGCGACCGGCTCGATTCTCCCTTTTTTTGTTTTATACGGAGGAAGTAGCACAAGCTGTTTTCGTTCCTTTCTAGACGCCTCCCTTTGTTTCTTGAATGTCTAGTAATAGCACCAAATTAAGAAATAAGAACTTTTCATGCAGGGGAACACCAATCGAGGTAGATGCTCCCTTTTGGGGTATGCATGCGATGCGGGAAGGCGCGAACAATGACGAGGTTCGTTCCTGACAACCCCTCCAATGCCGAGGTAAGTTGTACCAAATGCTGCAACCCCGGGCCTTCTACAGGCCCATGGACTGTGCCTTCCCGTGGAGGAGATTGGGGTTCTCCAGTGCAGGTTGGGGCAATGACTAGGGGCGAGCCACTGAACCACTTTTTTTGGGGCTGGGCGACCCATGCGGCAAGTGCATTTGGCGGTCGGTTGCAAATACCGTGCGTACTTTCCCGAGCGTCGGCTTCCGCTCCCAGCTGCCCTCTATCTGCTCAGGGTGGAAATTTCACGTGCAAATTCTGAAGGAACGATCAACCATAAAATGTGGGATGGTGCATAGTCTTTGGCATCTGCATGACTAAGAACGGAAATTGCATCGCTGGCTTGTGACGATACTTTGGAGCAAAATACAAGAAAGAAAACAACTACCCCAATGTCGGCGCATGATCAAGATGCCACTGCAACTCAACGGTCACTCGAGGGTTATTGTCTGGTCACTTCGGCAAACATCTTGCGGGCGAAATCGGGCCCCAGGAATGCGACGATGAGAATACGTAAATCCCAAATGTCATACAATGCACTGACCAACCTTGTTTTTTGAGTGATGTTTTTCGACCTAGAAAGGCAGAGATTGCCTCGAGAACATGGGACGTAAGAGGCTGATGAGATCAGGTTGTCGCAATGCCAAGCAAGAATGCTCGGATACGTAGGCTATGCTTAAATCCGAATGGCTATATTGCATATACCACACTCGACTTGGAACCGCCCGCAATGGACAACAGGCACAAAGGCACGCCCTGGAAATACTGCCAAAAGTTTTGTTACCAAAAGCACCTCTGATTTCCCACCCCTTTGTCGACGCCGTCACACAAACATCCAGGATAAGACGCCACAGTCGTAGAAATGTTCCGAATTGTGGGGAGTCGCGCATCACCCACGTGGCAATGGCCTGATATTGGGTTCATTTTCAGCAAGATTTTGGCCAGAACAGTCGTCTCGTTTTGATGCGAGGTCTCGATGAAGAGGCTAAAACTGGGATATCATGAAAAGAAAATGGCGATCTGACTTTTTCTACTTACTTTGACAATCTAAGCCTTGTGTGCTCTCCGTACCCTGCCTAACTACATCCTTAAAAAGCTGGGCCGAGATCTAGAAGACCTTTTTATTGACGGTATATTTACTTTCGTCTAATTTACTTGACCTCAATATTGTTTCATTTATTCATGATCTAAAGACAAATAAACGAAAAGAAAAGAAAATAAAGTAAGTTATACAGAGCCGCATGTAAGACAATCGCCAATGCAACGGGCGACATAATCTACGAACATCTAGCTACGTTTTGATTTAATTTTGTGGTTTTTTTTTTAAAAAAAAGTTTTTAAGTTTTTGACTTATGCTTTTTGCAATCGAAAAACTTGCCAGGTTATCTACATGATTTACACGCAATCCCCCCCACAAAACAAAAGTACTACGCATCAGAACCAAAACCGTCAAGGTACCGAAAACATATTTTCTAGACGTGGTTGTCTATGCGAATGTAGTCATTGTGGTGCTATTCGTGTTTTTGGACAGATTTTCTTTGTGTTCTAGACATACTCGTCCGTCGCCAACCGGAAAGTTTGCTCCGATCTAAATATGACAAGCGTCCGACTAGAAAAAAAAAGACCGGTGAAAGACCTTAACGTTGGGGGCAACAGTGAATTGATGCTTTTTCCCTTTGCCCTTCCATTTCGGGATATTTGCGCGCCGTCGTTTTCATGAGAGGCGTCTGTTCTCTTCACTTGGCGAATTGGTGAGAACGTCATTGAGTAAGAATTGACTGTGGGCCGTTGCAAGGTCTTCCGGAACAGTATCTGAACTTGTCCACGCATTTTGGAACAAACGCCGTTCCGCCATTCTCCCTGGGATCGGTGCACGGGGTGCTGCCTAACACTATTCTCCAGTAGCGGGGCACGAAAAGAACCCCTACTTTTGTTCGTCTTGTAACGACGTATCTTTGCCGCTGATGCTCCCTTCCGTCCTGTTTAGAGTGACCTACCAGTGTCCCTGGAAAGCTCCCATAGCATGACGGAGGCCAGGTCTGGGGCGAATATGCAGATGTCGTTCTTTGTTTTTATTCGACCAATTGTAACGAAAGGGGACTTGAAAATACCCCACCGGAGTTTTCTTTCCTAATTGCCCCCTGGAGCTGTTGACCATACCTCCAGCATGACAAAATAAAGCGCACTCACAAACCGTTTTAGCACTTTAACAGAGCAAGGAATCCTCACTGTAACACTCTTAACAGTGTAGGGAACTCCACTAAATAGCCTTGTGAGTGCGCTTTTTTTTGTCCAGGGGGAGCATACTTGACCGGTAGAAACATTTTACCTTTTTGTGTTGTGGATGGAACGTCATGGGTCCACCTTCACGCACACCATTCAGCCCTCCCTGGCTGCCCTCTTCCTCGATGGAGGTGGATTGTGCAAGCCGTGTAATGGAGCGAAAGATGCGAAAGAAGACGGGCGCATAGGAGCTAGAGTGAGTGCAGACAGAGCGCGACGCGGTCTCGAACTTTGCTGTCAGGCCATATGTCCTTTCCCAAGACGTATCCACCACGACGCAACGAGCACTCAACTAGGGGCTGCCTCCGAAAGGTCAGATACTTGATAGACCGCGGTGAACTTTCAGCGCTGAACGACAAAGCATGTTCATGATATTGCTGTTCCTTTGCCACTAGAGCGGCTCGAACTGCGATGGCACTACGAATAGTCAGTCGACGTTAGTCCCCAGACTTCTAGGCTATCGGACAATTTCCTCCGCAGCGACTCGTTGAATGATTCTCCCATAGACATGCGTGGCGTTGTGTTTGTAGCTGGATGTGCAGTATCTTTTGTTCCTCGCTTCTCTGCATACCTTGAGACTTTTGTATCTAGAAAATACCAAAGGAATCGACTGTGGTGTAGTATTGTGTGTTTCTGTCTCGGCCTATCCGAGAATAAGCGTTTGCCAAGGTTATGGTCCCATTTCGAAGCCACTTTAGTAAAACTTCACCGTACTTTCTATTGTACGACAGCTGCATATCGACGGTAACCTTTACATTCAGTGGTTGATCCTC